TATTTGAAATTTTTTTTTTACTCAGTATAATCTGAGATAATATCGAGTGTAATAATATCCCTATTTTGATACTAAAGTAGACCCCTGTAAATGATTATGTTAGGTCTATTACTTTTTAGTAAATAAAATCAAATTGTTAAAATAATTTATACATGATCATTATTATTATACTTATTATAAAGATATTATTATTCTAAAAAAATCATTAAGAATAAAATTTAAAATGAATAAATGAAAGAAGGCAAAATAAAAAATTCACAATGGACATAGAGTACAGTTTATTTTTAAATTACTGTAATCGTAATATTCATTTTAGTATTGACCGATAATTTATTATTCGGAATCTGATATTATTACATTTAGATTAAATTTAGAAGTATAAGTGTAACTAATTGTAGTATTGTCTCAAAATGCGACTCTTTTGTATTATGCGATCATTAATTTTTAAAAATATATAACGACAAATTAAACAGAGTAAATTTGTAAGCAAACAAGACTTGGATAGCGATATTCAAAAAAATGTGTAATTTACTTTCGAATTGAATTCCAAAATCATTTTATAATTCCAAAATAAAATTTAAGTTATTACAACCTAAGTGTTGTTGGTTATTGGCGAAGCCATGAAGTTTCCCCTGTGATAATGTTAAAAATCATATATATAGTTCTAACATTGTGACCGGACAAACATTTCGATTTCGATCGCAAGTACAGAGTGCCGATTTTTTTATGCAATAAATCGAATGAATTTAGGTTCTTTCGATTTTCTTACAGTAGAAATATGTTCTAAAAAATTTGTCGTACATACTCCTTTCTTTAAATAAATAAAATTATTACGACAAATAAATAGAACATGCATTTTACATTATAATTAAAATAACGAGAAACTTTGTCGTTAAAAATTACTTTTCGCTGGACGTAAAAATAGCTTTAAGTCGTAAATATTATGTATATATGTCCACTTTCAATTGATATTTTTAAAGTAAAACGCGAAAGAGAATTTCCAATAATAAGAATATACTAATAGACATAAGTAAATAAATAAATATATGTGTAAATGTGTATTTATTTATTTATTTATTTATTTCTTCATTTATACTTATTTATATATTACGACAAAGCTTCGCGTTGAACAATTTTAACAATAGCCAACATTTATAGAATAGAATACCAATTTTTAGTTATATTTAATTGAATCTTCTTTAGATTTATAATAACATCGTTATTTTATTATTTAGTTGTTAATTATTTTTTCTACCCACACACTTGATTTCAAGATATATACCAGATAATTTATTCGAGTCATTAATTGCAAATGGCTCTATTCATCATTACTACAATGAGTAATTTTTCATCAGAATTGCAAATGTTCCAATGCAAAGTTCTTATTGCTGTTCATTCTTTATTATTACTATTTGAATTTCCACTTTTTTTTTTATTTTCTATATTACCTTTATTCTTAATTGACAGAGTATGAACTTCATCTTGGTTTTTTTTTTTTTTCTTTCACAAAACATAGATGTAAGACAGGCGGGCCGAACGAGGTGTAAGATATTTTGTAACTTTATAGTTTTAACAAACTAATCATTTTTGTTTATATTTAGACCGTTTAAAAATATTTCACTCATACTGTTTTTGTTTTTTTTTTTTTTTTTTTTTTTTTTTAATTATTTTAACAAATACAATTCTATCTGAGTTAATTTGAAAAGTTATATCATTTTAATACAATAGTTTTTTTTTTTTTTTTTATAAATTATTGACTCAAAAATAATTTATTTTCAAATTATTTATAAAATTCAAATATTTTAAACAATTTTTTTGTTTTTATTATCTTCACAAATTTTATTTAACGATCACAATATTTAAAATTTTTGCATTTTACAATTAATATATTTTTTACATTATACCTTCATTACTTACGTCTATACGTAATTTTGTGAAATTTATGATTTATTAAAAAAATACCCATCAACTATTGATTTCAATAAAATTGACAAAATAATTAAATATACTGAATTTTAAATTTAATAAAAAGGGCCCATCTCTGTCACCTTAAGTAATTATCATTCAAGACATGTAATGTTTTTTGTTCTTCATTTTTACTCATTTATAAACTCATACTTTTTCTACATTTGATACATAGTTAACAAAATAAATACTAATTTAATTATATACTAATGAAATTAATTTTTCGTTTAAATTTAATAAATGCCATAACACTCCATCCATTGAATTAAAAATTTAACGACAACATAAATTCATTAATATTTTAATTAATTTATTACTATTAATAATACATATTTATATACGTAAAACACATGGAATCGTAAATATTTATTCCAATTAACTTAAAATTATCATCTGCCTTTTTTACTAATTTTTCACTTCTGTATAACAATAATACTATTTTTCTAATTAGGAATGATAATTTTTTTCATCACTGCCACCATCGTCATTTTTTCATTTTCATGAATAAATAATTCTAATTCATAAATAACATAATATACGATGTTACACGATACAGATTTCTAAAATCGTCGTTCAAAAACTAACTAGTATATTTCTTATATAAAATACGGAATAAAAATTATTAATTTATTTTTTTTAAATTTACCTATAATCGAAATTATTAATTCAGTCATTTAAATCAATCTTGTAGTTTAAAAATAAAAAGTTAATTAAAATAAAATATTATTTATAATATTATGTCAATGATTAAAACAAGATATATAAAAAGTTACTCTAAATAAATAAAGAAGAGAAGTAATCAAAAATTTTTTTTCTTAATTTTATATAAGAAATATTTGTTGTGACTCAATAGAGCATGATATATAATTATGTCAATGACGTCCTGCATATATATTTATATTATTATGTTTTATAAATGCACTCTAAAGTAGCTCTTCATTTTATTTTTCATTTTTTACAATTAAGAAATGTATTGATTGAAAAGATAAATTTAAAACCATATGATAAGAGATTTACTTTAACCAAATTCATAAATTTACTTTCATTTTTTTAATATTTAATTTCAGGTGAATAACTTGGATACTTTTTTGTTAACGATAATAATTTAATTGTTTAGATTATTTCAAAATTTATTCTGTATGCATATTATTATGTTTCTCAATCTTTCTTTCACTTTTTCTTTCTCTTGATTACAAAAAATTAAAGAAATCAACAATCTAAGGTAAAATTTAACAATTGATTTAAGAATCTATCAGATTACTAGTATGTTTAATTTTAATTTTATCATCCTCTCTACGGTATTAATTAATATTTATAGAAAAAAAAATCATCAATCTAAAAACTTATTAATATATAAAAAATCGTATTAACAGAACGACCAACTAATTTACAATTTTTTTCATTTGTTTTTACAATAATTATAATCAGATAACCACTATTACCAAACGAAGCTAACAAAATTACAACAAAAGAAAAACTAATTTACGTTATTGGAAATAGAAATTGTAAACTTCATTAAAAAAAATTATTTTCTATTAACTAAAATACTCGAAAATTTAACAAGTAATTGAGTAAATAAATTCAACAATTCAACTTTTTTGGCTATGTCAAATTTTCAACAACAAAAAAATTTTATCAAAATAAAAAAATCGACATAAAAATTGGGTTTTCATTGTAGATTAATTAATCATATGCATTAATTTACTATGTCGTTCACTCGCTGATACACTTTAAACTATTATAATATACAACCTACAATTACAATATTTCATTTTATAAATAACTAAAAAAAATGTACAAAAAAAATCATTTCACTAAATTATACTATAAATAATCATGATTACACACTACTCGAACGTTTTAAGTTTAAGAAAAAACCTAAACCCTGATTAAAAGATCCAATTAAAACCGACGGTTAATGTTTATTAATAACTAAGTATCTTTAGTATTGTTTCTACTTCTCGCTTCAAGATATGAAATACTGACTAGATTTTTTAGTGTAAAAAATTAATATCAGATAAAGTTAACTTTTTTTCTAACTTCTTCAAATTATTCAAAATAAAAAGTTACACATTTATCTTTTCAATACTATAATGTTTAATTATATCATAAAAGTGGTTTTAATATCAAACATTCGTTTTTATTACGTATTTAAACCATTCAAAGCTGTATTTTTATTCATTTATTTTTTTTTTTTTATCATTCTGTATATAAATAAAATTTTTTTACAGATGCTCAATATAGTCAGTATTTTTTAAATTTGTCTCTTTTCATCTTTACTATATATGAACAGCCATATTGTGGAAGAAAGAAAGAGAAAGTTTAACATGAAATCGGCTTAATCAGAATCAATAGGATTTTTTAAACAGGAAATTTATAAATCTGTAATTACAATTTCACAATTAATATTTCAGTGATCGGTCTACTTTGTAATGAGCGTAGACCTTACATTGACCAATCAATCTTCATTCCTATATTTTAATGATTAAATTTAAATTAAATAGCATCGTTAATGAATATTGATCGGTCTTAACAAGAATTACTCACATTACAATTTTATAATTCATGCTTACTTATATTAATATAATATTATTATTATTATTATCATCATTATTATTATATGTCTTATGCATTGAATAAAATGTTTTTTCTCGCGTGATTATCGAAAAATTATTCACCTCAATAAAAGACACGATAACATTTTTTATAATATTTTATATATTATATATTTATGTACATTAACGTAAGTATGGATAGAACGATTATCTGCAAAAGATATATCATAATAACTTATGTTGATATATAATTTCATAAAATTTTCATTCGAAAGCTTTAATGAAAAGAAGGAAGCTTAAAATCATTATGCGAATCAGTATCTGTTTAGGCTATTTAAGAGTATTTATCATTTCATTTATCAACTCCTTAGTACTTTTAATTATTATTTCATTTTAAATCTTGGACATTCTTTTCAATAGTGTAGATGGAATTTCACTAGACTAATATCTATCTTTGGCATCGATGTAGTCGTGCTTAATTTATGGCAATGGCTGAACAATCTGAACATATGACACAGGGAAAAATCCTGTACGACCATTTACACTTCCTTCAAACCAATTGTCATCGATCCTTTGGATTAATGTAATTGTGTCATTTTCCTGAAATAATAGCCGAAAATTAGCCATCATTTATTTATTAATTTTATTTCGGTATAATTATAGTACATACAGTGATATTGAAAAATTATAATAAATTGTTAAACTGCTTAAAATTAAAAGCTGAACTTATAGAATAATTATTTTTTATTCGGTAGCAAAATGATCAACAGAATAATCGAAAATTCTCTAAAATAAAATTTGGATGAACATATTTAAAATTTTGTCAATACTATTTTTTATTGTTAAAAAATTTTATTATTTTATTTACTTGAAGATTTTATAAACATTATGATTGTAGTATAATTATTTTGATTGAGTCGAAAAGAAAAATCAATCAAATTGTCGGTTAAAATTTCGAAAATAATCATATATATTATTTCTTAAAGGTATTTTTCGTGACACGGTTGAATCTCTTTAAATTTTTTATAAAACCTGTAAATTGAAATGCCATGTTAAAGCTTATGTTTCCCACTATTGACGAAAAATATACAAAAAATTTGTATAAATAATTCAGTTAAAAAATTAATAAAAAATAACTTTTTATAACAAAATAAAATCCGACTGGATAGGATTTTCGGCCATGGGTTTGTTGGCGCAATGAGCGAACTGAGTACGCCAACACAAGACTATTAAAAGCTTTATTCACATAAGTTTATTTATAATTAAATAAATTAATCAACATAATATTACGCACAACATCGTGAGGAAAAAAATAATGGTCATATTACAATAAGAAAATGAATAAATAAAAATTAAATCAATGAAGGATAATTTTTTTTTTTTTTTTTTTTTCAACAATAATGATAAAAATCAGTCTCATTTGTACATTATAAAATAAACATTCGTCCTTTGATCACGATATTGTGCAAAATATTCGCACAGATCGGCTAGTAAAATATATTACACTTGTAACTTTTTTTCAAATAACTTTAAAATAAAGGTTGATAATTTGAAAGTACATTTATTTTATTTGTAGATGAAAGGATGTAAAATGTAGTAATATTTATCAAATTTTACATTGCTTATTACTTCATTAGAATTGAAGTTATTTATAAAAAGGTATTTAGCACTACTAAAAATAAAAATTCCCATTACTTTACTCTACAATTGAATGTAAAAAAAAATGAAGCATTGAAAAAACGACTGTCATTACAGTTACCGAATGGCCGTATTTGTTAACGGACATTTTTAAATAACAAAAAATTTTTAATGAAGTATTTCATGAAATAATAGTTGAAAATTTACCTTAAATCCAAGTTCACCAGGATTTTCAGGCTCAAAATCATAGAGTGCCGTGCAACAAGGCTGTTTAGGCATTGGCGTTCTTGCTGGTGATTTACTAGGAGATGGCAATGGAGACGCTGAAATTTAAATAAAAAATAATAAAATATCTACAGTAAAGAATAAATTTTATTTTTGGTTTAACTGATTTTTAAAAGCACTCAAGAATAAGAGTATAAATAATAATTCAACAATTGAGGTCTCGTAACTAAAGCTACATCGGTTGAATTACGTTGAATTGAAAATTAAATTATAATTTTCTATTCAAATAAAAAGTATATCTATTTAATTAAAAAAATTTGAATTAAAATAAATCTCCATGCCAAAGATGAACCAAAGATCTACATTAGAGCTTAAATGGAATATGATAAAAATAAATAATTAATTAACCCTGAAATAATGTAAATTAAAAGAATGTCATATTATAAAATTATTAATACATAATCAAATGAAGCGATATTACAGTGAAATGGTGCAAAAAATAATTATCCCCATGCAAAATTTACCATTGGTAGATTGCGGTGGGTTTCCGGCCGGAAATAGCTCGAGCTGAGAGCGCTTCCCGTCCCCGTGAACCGGAGACCCAGCTCGACTTGCTCCTACAGAGGATCAGGATAGACATTCAAGTATGGGATATTTATAATACACAAAACAGATATAAAAAAAAGTATGCGTAAGTAATTAGAATGTCGAGTGAGTGTTTAGTGTATTAATATTATTATTGTTTTCTCTTTTGCATCTTATACTCCTATTGATTAATAACCTTAATGATAAAACAACCCATCGGCTTGATGATAGTGCCAATCGTTAAAAAATTTGATGAAAATTGAATTAATTATTTGATTCTTAAGAAAAAGTTTATTGACAAAGAAGTGAGGAAACCAGGACACCAAACTGACATTGCAAGAAAAAGATATACAATTAATATAAATAAAATAAATCAACACGTATAACAATTATATAAATTAGCGTTGTAAGTTTATCCGAATTTAGTGTGTAAATATTTGTTTTACCGTGAAGAAAGAAGTTCCCACCGTTCATTCCGTCTCCCAAGGACAATCCTTCCACATTTAGATCTGCTAATGTTTTGGGAACAAATTCCAGTTTTGGTCGATTGGCTGCCTCGTCTTTCCTAAATTCAACAATTATTATTATATGTTATTTTTCTTATGATTTACTACTGAAAAAGTTTAAATTTTGAAAAAGTCTCTGTTTATAGTTCAATTTTCGTATTTCTTATTCAGACTTATAAAAATTTTCCAAAAAATACTCTGATATTCGATGAACTATCTATAAATCTACCTCATAACAAAGCACTTTTTTTTTTAATATTCATTTGATTTCTTGGTTTTCATTTACCGTACAAGTGCAAAAAAAATAGTACGTTTTCTCTCAATGAGTGTGAGTAAAAAAAACACGGGAACGGTTCCGAAATCTTAACTCTTTACAGTTACATATAAAAAAGTTAACCGATTGACAAAAGAATCTGAAAATTATAATTTTCCTCATAGTTTTCAAATAATTCATATTATATTTTTACTTTTAAAAAAATATCTCAAATCTTTGTTTTTTTTTTTAATTCTATTTCGATTTCTGTTAAAATCAATCATCATATTATTGGTTTAAACACAAAATTTCGATAAATTTTAATTATCTATCTTCAAAAATATTCGTTATTGTCATTACTGATCAATATCGGCGGGAAAGCTCTTTTTAACCTTATTTTTCTAAGTTTTTTTATGATATTGTATTGTTGCTAAAAGTGTGCGTTGTTCAACACTTTATATTGTATGTTTTATTCAAAAGACCTCATTTTAAATAGTGGAACTAGTTTTAGAGTAATATTAAATTAGTGTATGATGAATAATGTAGTAAAATAGTTATGCTACATAAAAGGATTTACGTTAGAGTAAGCTAGCTACTACTTAAAAATTTAACGTACTAATTTATTATTGAATCTTAGTAGATTATTTTGAATAATACAATAATAGTAAAATAAAGAAGAGCCTTCTCGAATTGGCCTAAAAAGCAAATCTTTTCAATTGTAAAATAATTTTTACCACTGCTTATATTTTACCGTGATTGATGAATATTTATTATTAAATGGTAAAACTTACTTTTCTAATAGCGTTTCGGTTAGAACTTTAAGTATTTCAATGCACTGTTGGTGGTATTCGAGTAAACCCTCACTGAAAGTAGCTAACTGGGCCACTTGCTCAACCTAAAAAATATAAATCAAAGAAAAATATTAACTGAAAATGAAAAGATAAGTTTTTCAATAACTTACATCATTTTCCAATAGATTGAACATCCCCATCTGGGCCAAATGAAGACTTTCGGCAAATTTCTCTTCAGCTTGACGAATCTCGTCGTCTGAAACATGAGAACCTGTACGTTGCGTTCGTACTTTTATTAAAAAATGCACTACAGGAACACAACTTGCCTCAGTCCTATAAAACTATTTTCTTAATTACTTTTTATCTTGTATTTTAAAAATAATATCTTGAGGCCTAAGGGAGTTTGAGGTCAATTGCATTTACATTTACAGTCATAAGCTTCTACTATAACTCAAAATAATAAAATTACATAGCAAAGATAAAAATTAAATGATTATTAAAATAAATATCTCAATATATCTCTATTCATATCACAAGTTGAACTATAACTAAAATATAATACTCATTCAATATACAAAATTCCACAAGCTATCAGAAGTTTACTTATACTACGCAATTAAATTAAAAAGCATGCTTTAATTAATTTAACCAAAGTTTTAGTAGAATAACCAGCTCAATAATATTTTTACATTAAATAAAATTATCTGAAAGCAGATAGTTTTAAGTTTTATTAAGAACATATAGTTTTAAGTTTTAGTAGCCCATAATTTAAATTAGAAATTTTCATATTGTACTCATTAAAATTTATAAAAATAATTAATTATTTCTCATTTATTATCAAATAAATTAAAATTTTTTCGGGTATTGTAGACATACCCACGTGAGCTGACGTAAAACTTGACTTCGCTGGGCTACCAAAGTGTGGACTGCTCGAGTTTTTGACCATAGCTATAATTAGTGCCAAGTGAGCCATGCATAATAAGGTCAATTGATAAATTGATGAATAACATTTTCGTCAATAGATTATAATTGTATATAAATAGTAATAAAAGTTATAAAGTAAAATTATACTAATGAAATTATCGTTATGCAATCATGCATTACAAATCATATCTTTAATATATCATTCAGCATTATAATTTATCATTTTTCTATTGGTTATAATTTAAATTATTAATAAACAAAATAAAGAAGAAAAAATTATTCCTTACCCTTTGCTTGCCGTCGACGCTTACAATCAAAATCTAACCGACGTCCTTGAAGTTTCTTTCGATGATGCTAAAGAAAAGATCATTTTTTAAATTATTATTTACTTACGTACTATAGTTTTTAACTATTATTTATAAAAATATAAAAAACTTCCCGCTATGAAAATCAATGATTAAAAAAAAATCGGGAAGTTATTTGTTTTACCCCGATTTTAGAAAATCGAGTTTTCATCAGATCTCCACGTTTCGAGGTCCTAGAAAGCTATTCTGACTATTCTTACGAAAATGTCTCTTCGTATGTATGTATGTATGCATATAACTCCTTATAACTTTTGAACGGTTTGACTGATTGAAACGTGGTTGGCAGCATTTAAAAGGGTTCCTTTGCCATTAGATTTCACGTGAATTTGAATCAATTCGGCTTGGTAGATTTTCAGAAATTTCAAAAATAAAATTTTCAAAAAAATATCTTTCTGAGATAACTTTTAAACTAATGTGTCGATTAATTAAAAAAAACTAATCAGCTATTAATCTAAGAAAACAACATTGATTGCCGCAAACCGCATCGAAATCGGTTCATTCGTTTAAGAGAAATCGTTGTCAAAAAATTTGGAAAAAATCGTTTTTCTTTCATAACTTCAAAATTTCTTCTCGGATCATTTAGCGTGTGAGAAATAATCTATTTATATTTGAAAGCCTGCGTCGATTACTGCAGATCGCATCAAAATCGATCTATTCGTTTAAGAGATATTTAATTTTTAAAAATTTCAAAAAAGGGTTTTTTTAACATGACTTCAAAATTTTACGTCGAATCGTTTGGTAGGTAATTTTTTTGAGCTTGAAAAACTGCATCGAATGCTGCAAGTCCCATTAAAAACGATTGATTCGTTCGGAAGATATCGCATTTAAAAATTTTCAAAAAAGTATGTTCTCAACAACCACTAGAATTTCGAGCTCCAAAAGCTCGAAAAAGAATAAAAGTTGTACTTTTGAGCTCGAAGAGCTCAAAACCGGAATAGATAATTTCTTAAGCATTTTGTACATAGCGGGAAATTTCGAGGATGGTTTGCAGGGTCAACCGTTCTCCAGATTTTTTTTTTCTTCTTTTTAATAATTCATAAGTACAAGCCACAAGTCAAAACCGAAAAAATTTCTTATACGAACAAATGTTAAAAGTTTTTTAATAAATCGACCTCACCATAACTTCCTTCAAATCTTTGGTCTGCAGATGGTGCAGAGGTTCTAAAAAGTTTTGTTTTATGTTATCATCAAGAGAGTATTTTACGTCAGCCATTTGTTTCATCGCTTCTCCCATCTCTATCAAAGCTTGAGCTAGATTTAAATAGAAATAGAATACATTAATAATAGAATCAAAGATGTCCAAAAATAATTTAATGATAAATATAATTATGAATATTTTAATAGTAAATATGATTAAGTAAAAAAAAAATTTTATAGCATACCAAAAATACTATCTTCGCCCATTTTTTTGCCGTAAAGTAGCATGCAATCACCAAGAACACCTTCAGGTTGTGGATAAGTCGAAGCTTTAGCTTGACCGCTTAGCTTACTTATTCCTTTTACTGCTGCCATTTTAGCTCTTGCAGTTGGATTCGGTTGCAAAAATTCTTTTGTTTTCATTTGTAGTTCTTCAACAAGTTCACAAGTTACATCTGTTTTCTATAAAAAAAAATATTCATCAACTCAAGTTCTAATCAATGTTAATTCAAGTTTGAGGATAATTTAACTTACTCTTTCCATATCAACAAAATCTACATCAAGCTTTGTTCCTTCAGCCCCGCCCATCTTCTCCGTCATATACTGAAAAAAAAAAAAAAAAATAATAATAATAAAATCATACATTGCATATCTGACTATTTAATAATTCTACTTAAGGGATCATTCTGGTTCTGGCGCTCGAAAAAAAGCAAATATTAATTATTTTTTTATATAGAAACTATTATAGATATTGATATTAATATTAACTTTATTCAGCTCATTACAAACACTCTTGAATAACACAAGAAATATCTAACTTTATTTTTTAAAATATTTTTTATATGAATAAACGGCGGGTGAATGAAGTTCCTCCAAAAGTTGATATGTCGCTGACATAAATGATAACTTGATAGTGGCTCATCTAAAACACAAAATCCAAAATTATATACCTTCAATATATAAGTAGCTATGGCAGGAACTACGGATATTAATATTTATTGATAAAAAACAAAATGGCTGAAATTGAAAAAAAAAGAGCCTTTTTTTCCCTAGTTTTTAGTCCTAAAAAAATAGTAAAAATTAAAATTTTGATTTGGTTATAGTTCGTGCCATAGCTACTACTATGTAGAATATGTGGTTCAAATTTCATTAAGATCGAGTCAGTGGTTCCGGAAATATAATTTATGTAAACCAGAAAAACATAGGTTTGAGATAAACCCGTTAAAAGTTTTTTTAATAAAAAAAAAAAATCTTACCTAAAGTCAATCAGCACTATACAAATTTCCATCAGCCTGTTTGAGAATTTGATTTTCTTTCACTAGAAAATCCACATGAATCTTGTAAAATACTATAGTTACAATGGTTCGTTCACTTAAAAATTTTAACACAATACTTGTAGATATATGTACTTTCGAAAAATGTAAAAAGAAAAAAATAATTTTTTCAAAAGTTACAACCAGAATGATTCCTTAACTTAATCAATTAAATTTTTTTTAAAAATACGAAATAAAATTTAAATTCAATTTCTTATAGAGAAAAAAAAGTATTTCTACATAAGCCTAAACTAATGTTATTGATTAGAAATAAAAAAGGAATATAGATAACGAAAACGGCAAAATAGATTTTTAATTTAAAATAACATTATATTTTATTTATATACAAAACTGAGACATAAAAATCTGATCTTTGAAATCAAGAATTATCATGGATAAATTCCAAGAAAGCTTTCAGTATGATTCAACCAGCAATGAAAAACGTGTAAAGATATTTATTAAGTATCAGAGAGCAAATGGATCAATATTCACACGGTCTTCACCAATTTTAATGCGACCTTATTATAAAACAGCCCAGTTTACGCCTTGGATTTTCATTTTTGCAAGTCTAAAAATTATATATTTTAAATAAATAAATTCAGTTTTATAAAATTTAAGAAAATGCAGATGGTAAATAACAAAAAACTTTTCGGTACATTTTTTTATTATTAAAAAAGTTATTTAACGAAATTTTTCAACCACCGGAAAATATAAAATATCAATAAGATTAAAGCACGAATTATTTTAACTGTGAATAGTTAAAGGTCTTGGATAAGGGCCAAAGGATTGGAAAAATTTATAAAAAGAAATTAATAAAAGTTTTGGTGCGCCAGTAAGGCGTCTTTTGAATGACGTAACTGGTATCTTGTAACTAATCACAGTCTTGGCAGGCCAGTAGCACTCATTTCTTTATTGTTGGTCTGCTATAATTTATAAATATGATTATGACTGATCAACTTTAATCTACGTTTTCAAAAATAACTTTACCATAAAAAAAAACTTGAAACATGAAAATATTAAATATTTTTTTACGGACGAAAATATTAATATGAAAAAAAGTCGGTTAGTAATTAAAATAGCAAAAAAAAAATTTATTCCGGAATTTTTTTTACACACATGAAAAAAAAATAGATGAAAAGAAAAATTACATAACAGCCGTGCTAGAAGTTTGAACAAAAAAATCATTAAGAAGTTAACAATAGAACGATTTAAGAGTTTTTCATCATGATTTCATTTTTTTTTAATTTTTTTTTTCTTCTTCATATTAACTCTCCTATTTTTATTGTCAAGCTGTGCTTTTTATTGAGCAACAATTACGCCGAGCATCAATAATAGTGACTTTATCGCTTATATATCAGCGGCCATTTTCCAGATCTTCTTTTATCCCTCAATCCACCCCTTGTTGGTCCCCTACACCATTACGAGACAGACCTTGACCGATATCCCTCAAGGTTGACCTATATATATTTTGATATACGATTCACTACATTCAACGCCAGACTGCACGTTTTTACAATTTATTCTAAATCAAAATTTTACTTACATCCATATCAATAACTATTTGTTCTCAAAATTGAAATGATTAATGACATTCTTGATAGTGGCCCAAAAAATATATCCACTGTTGGACTTATGAATTTATAAAATACAAATTTAATTATTTAATTTATATTCAGAATCAATAGACAATTAATCTCGATTTTATGTATTTCTTTTATTTTCATCGATATCGCTTGAATCAGGACATCATGCTAAATAGAACGCCAAATATGAACCTACATAACTATAAGTTATAAGTAGATAACATAATGATCTATCGAAGTATGAAGCGCTTTTTTTGAAATTTTCACTCTTAAAATTTTCATTTATTGTACAAATTCAAGAAAGATGCTACCATTTATCCAACAGAGATCGAGAGAAAAAAAAGTGTAAACTATTCTAAATTTAAATTGCATTGAATAATTATAAATAATATAATGCAAGGTTATTGAAATGTTCATCTGTTTATAACATTTTGATCACTAAAAACTATGCCGTAACCCAGAAAGTATCTCAAATTATAACTCAAATGCATGTAAATACGGTAATTAGAGGTTTATGGTTCGAGTCCTTACTTTGGTTTTTATAATAATGTTAAACAAAATAATTAACAATTTAATTTTAAATAACATACTTGATAATTAAAAAAAAAAAATAATTATATTTATAACTTGAAAATATTTTTAATGCTAAGTTCTCTTTTTTACATTTATTTATTCATTGTTTTTTTATTTTATTCATCATTGGCGATTAGTCATTGTACTTTATGATACTTTCATTAGCACCAGAGTTATTATCAAAGGCTAAAGGGTAAAGTTTTAAATGTGAACGTTATATAGAATATGATCTCGCTGTACAACCCACGCATGACTGACGCTTATTAAACCCACATTCGAAATACGACTATCTTGTTTGTATAAAACTTTTTATTATGGCACTTTTTATTTATATTTGGAAATTGAAAAATACTGGCTGGCTAAAACTTGATAATTCTATTCGTAATTTGCTTTCCTTTCAGGAAATAATCCCATGTCCTTACAATGACGCTATTGAAAAAGTTTTAAAACATTGCGCGGTGAGAACAATGTCCATAGAATGCAATAACAATCAGTAATTTTTATCAACTATTTTTATTATTTAGCATTATTAAGTCATATATATCTTGACAAATCATTTCATAATAAATGAAATAGTAATCAATGGTGAAAAAATTATTAATATAAAAATATTAATTAGGGTACTTACTTGATTAGCTTTGTTAATTTGCTTTTTAAGTCCCGCGAACGCCATGTTGACGATTGCTGTTTTTTCACTGAATAATTAACGATTAGACTTTCAATAAAATCTGTAACAAAAAAAATGATCAATTTGATTTTTTTATTAAACTAAATTGATTGATTTAGTATTTTATTTAAAAAATTATCAATATGAACAAAGTAAAAATGGACTTTGAAAAATTTTTTTGAACAAATTTTACTCAAATATATATTTTTGTGCTACTTATTGCGATTATCAATTGTATTTTATACAATGCTAACTATAAATAGAAACAACTTAGGTATTGATAAAAATAATAACATTAAAAATTATAACTAATTGTAAAGATCGTGAAATATGATTGAAAGAACCACGCGTGATATGTCACGCACACGTCGACCTATTTATCTGTTTGATGATGGGTTTAATGAAAATTAGAAATTATTAAAAAAGTGTTACTTAGTATGGCAAAAAAAGATTTATTAAAAGAATAAATTTACTAGTTAAATAAAAATAAATGGAATTATTTAGATTATCAACGAAATTGAGTGAGTGAAGAAATGAAAAAAAAATAAAATAAAAATGATTAAATATTTTCTGATAAGTTGATTGGAAATTAAACAAATGTCTCACTTGTAAACTTAATTTATCCAGACACTTAAGAAATAAAAAATATATTTTTCTGTTAACGCTTGCACACGCGCGACACACTTAAAATCGACAGAAGACTCTGTGACTGCTTCTGTTCTTGGGACTTGTGGAAATATTGATCGTAAACTAATATGATGATCGTTATTGTGTTGCAGAGTATTACAATAATGATGTTAGCGTTGAAAAAATAATGAAGAATAATAATAAAAAGTAAAGGGGGAAATAGCTTAAAGGAAAAATTGAGAGTAAATCTATCCCGCGTGGTAACTCAATGGATACTAGAGCTTATACTGTGCACACAATAAGAGATAGAATACTGCGACCTTACTTTCTTCGAAGGGTAGTTCCTAGCTGAACGATCGATACCCACGCAAGCTTTTACCTCCCATATTCACCACCCTCTTTTGACTGTGTGACTGCTATGCGCGCGAACAACCCTCTCAAGCACGCTTACTCACTCGCTTTACTGGGTGACACTATAAATTACTATTAAACTTTATTCTATACTGACTTTATATTCAAGTAATAATAATAAATAAATATATGCTAATAAATGATACCTTTAAAAATTGTATTATATTGTTATTTATGTTCCATTAAAAATTACGTTACAACACTTGACACCATGAAACTAGCTCATATTTTTTTATTGTTTTCATAGAATGCTAGTCTAACTGTATTGTACTGAGAATTTTTCAAGAAACAATTTTTAATAACATTATACTTTAATCGCAATGTTTAAATTTAATTATATATATATTTATAGTAAATCAACAAACGCTAATGGCTTTGAAATAAATTGAAAAACAAATTCAACTCATGTATTAACAAGAGTAACAAAATTAATTAAATTTTATCGTTGGCCGCATAAATAATAAAAGAATAAATTAAGTCGACTATATAATTTTTTTACTAGATTTAATAACGAAATGAATTATTTCAATTAATTGATTTTAATAAGCTCATTGGGAAAAGAGGCGATGATTGTTTTGAAGTAGAGACTACCCTATTTTCGACCATAAAATCAACATGATTGAATTTTTTTTAACAAACACTTTTTTTTTTTTTTTTTTGAGGAAAAAAATTGACAAAAATATCATTATTGAATTTAAAAAAAAAAGCTCGCAAAAACTTCAAAATTAAAAAAAAAAAATTATTTTTTGTGTTTGTTTTTACATGAAAAATATAAAAGAAAATACTAAAAACTACTACTTTTATTAGGAAAAAATTCATCACCCATTTGCAGTAAAAACATTTAACTTTTTTCGAACATTAAAATTTCAAAACTAATTTAACAATTTATTTTTGACCAATTTCATGGAATTTATATTGGAAATATGCTATGAAAACGAATAATTTGAAAAAATAAATAATATTTAAAAATGTCTATTTTTATAGCCAAAATAAGGGAATGTCCATTTGAAAAAAATTATCGAAAGCTTTTCAGTTATTATTATAAATCTTTACTTTTTATTAATATGATGAATTAAATTCTCAAACCAAAATTAAAAATATATAAATAAAAATAAACTTTTTAATATTCATTGATTAATTATAATAATCAAAAACTTGTGATGAAATATAAATAATTCAAATATAATTTTAAAATAAACGTCCGGATGGTTAAATAAACTTGACTATCTTCTGATAACATTTCTTGGAAACTACACCGCCCCCATCGAAATCAACTTTAACATCCGTTTGTATAGAAGACAATTAAACCCGTAATCCCCTCTCCGATGATACTTAATTATAATTAATAGCAATTATGATAAAACGTTAAACGGCAAACTAAATACGATTGATATCAAAATTTTATAGCGATGCTGATAATAATAACAATCTAAATTAACAAAGAAATAAGAAAATAAAGCTGTATTACTTTGATTGAATTATTATTTGTTAAAGTTGAAGTTTAAATTTTGTATTACTTTTAACATTTTTTTTCTACCCTGTTTTTAACTTTTTCGCTTAAATACGTTATATATTTTCTTCAGTAAAAGCATCAATACCGTTATTGTTTCTAGACCATCAGTGTTAATTAAATCGTATTTTGATGGAAACAAGTTTTTTAGAATTAATATCAATAAGTTTATAAATAATTTATTTATAACAATTTTTTTCGACTTTAAAAATAAATCCAATAAATCAATTAGCATATCAATTAAAAAAAAAAAACATCTATAAATTAATTAGAATAAAACTAATTTAAAGATATCACACAATAGATAGTCGTAACTATTATATTTTGATCAATTCTAATGAAGATATTCAAGGTTATTAATATACAATAATTTTTATTGCCGTAGAACTTGTATTTTTTTTTCCTTAGTAAAAAGAAATCCTCATGAAAGAGCAATTGTTAGTTATTATATTCTAAGAAGAAGAAGGTAATATAAAATGTAATTGTACGCCTTATAAATCATTTTACTCCAAAGGAAGTGGTCTGACTTAAATTATTTTTAATTTTACTATAATTTTATTTTTTAAATTATATTTGTATAATGTAATACTTTATTATATCGAAATAAGCAGACATTCCTTAATTTTTTGTAGTTACTTTTTTCTAGAAATAAGTATGAAAATTAAGTTAGCCGACATTTAAAAATTAAAAAGAATTTTTTTATTGAAAAAATGACTACAAGTGCAATTTTTTAAAAATATTTTTTTGTTCTAATTTAATTATTAAAAAACAAATCAAAAAATTAAAAACGTTGGCTAACTTTAGTATCATAAATAAGTAATTTTTTTTTTTTTTGATAATTTATCAATTAAAAAAAGCTAAAAAATTTTCGAATGCAACTTACAAAAAATTACTTGTTTATAAATTCATTTACTTCTATTAATAGTTCCTAATATTAATATATGCATTATTTACAATTTTATCCTTAATACGGTAAAATTTAATTGTCAAATAACAGCAAAGTAAATAATCAATTTAAATATGTAATCAATAATCCTGTCATCTAAAATAAGATCGTCTGCTCGCGCATTTTTTATTTTTATCATTTAACAAATATATATCATATTGTAAATATATTCATTTCTTATTATCATTTCATTCAAACAAATTTCTCATTGACATTGATGACTTTTTTCTTTTTAATTGAGTAAAAAATAAGAAAATTTTTTTATTTAACCATGAAAAAAATATAAATTTATCACACAAATTGTGTTAATAAATATTTCAAAATAAAGAGATAAAAATGTGACAGAAAAATGCAGATGCAATAATAAATAAGAAAAAATTAATAAATATATCTATTTTGATAAGAGATTAATAATTCTAAAAAATGTAATGCAAAAAACTTCAACTCACCGGCTTTAGCGTAGGGTCACAATGTATATTAGTTTGAAAAACCTAAAACAGAAAAATTTGTTAGAAAAAGTAGTAACTCATCATCAAAAAATTCTTTGAATCATCTGAATGTTAAAAAAAAAAAAAAATTAATTACAATATGATGTGGTAATTGTAGATTTTAAATTCAAGGTCGTGTGTGTTGAATTTTCAACCAATCAGCATTAATCGATGAATGAACCAATACGATGAATGACAGAACTTGTCATTTTTCGAATTTATCAAATTGCAATAAAAATCAATAAATTTTTATTAAGCGATAAAATATTTTATTTAATTGATGATAATACAAATTAGTGACTGAGTGATGTACAAAATATTTTGTAATCAAATAAAAGTATCTTTAATGGACAATTTCGAACATTAATTCGTATTTTCAAATCTCTTGTGTTCGAAGATGTTAATTTTTGTTATGGTTTTCGTATACAAGGCCCTGTAATAAATTTATATTTAATCCTTTGACAATAATTGTTTTTAAATTACTTACTGTTAATTAACGTATTAATTGTATGATATTTGGAGTAATGCACTATGGCTTTTAACCTCCCACAAAGATTTGACACAAACTCAATCTCCACACATCTGGCGCAAGTTCGAAATTTCGACGTGAGGGGTCGACATATGATAGTTTTTTTAAACGTAATAAACAAGGATACATTACACATTAACATTATACATACATACATCTTTGTATTATTTCATTAAAAAAAAATATTGTTTTTATTCCTATACTTGAATAATATTTTGAAAAGTTGATCCACTATTTTATTTTATTTAATCTTTGAAAACTATGAATTAACTATTATATTAATATTACGTGAGATTAAAAATGGTATCAATTCGGAAGCAATCAATATACGTATCATTGTATCTTAATGCCCAATAGAAAAACTTCTTGAGATTTAAAACACTGAAGAAATATCTAAAAACACTCCTTTATTACTATGACAATTACTTCAAAAGATTGAAGAGGAATTGAATTCGATACATTTTTCATCTTTTTTTTTTTTTTTTATATTTATGTTGTTTAAAAGTATAGATGATAAACCTAAGTGGAAACTACAAATAATTTTTTATTATTTTCTGACCATTAGATTTTTTTGAAATTTACGGGAAAAAATATTTATTAAATAGATTTAATTTTTAGTTATATTTCAAATATAAAATATATAATGAATATTGGGATACTTAATAAAAAAAAAATCATGAAGATATAAAGTTTATGTGAATATTAACACTGATGGCTACTTTATAAGACCATAAATTTTTTCATAAAATATTAATGAAGATGTTAAGAGATACATTGTGACCTCATAAAATGACTTTTTTATATCAAGTGCGTAAATTATCCTTTTAAAATATCGTAAATCAAATATCATAGATTGTACTATGCGATTTGTTACTTGTAAAAATTACTGGAGAACGGAAGGCCGGAGTACTTGCGCGATTTATTCGTTAAGGAAGCCGATGTTCGACGGTCAAATCGTTTGGCTGCAAAAGAGCACACCTCTTTCAAACTACCTCTTTTTACTACAAGCTACTTAGAGAAATCTTTTTTGGTAACTGCAATGAAGCTTTGAGAAGAACTCCCACGCAAAATTGTAAATTCGAGTAGCTTACAAGTCTTCAAAAAAGAAGTTTTTAATTACTTATTAAATCTTGATAATTAAAATGAATTCTAATAAATAGAAAATTTAAGTTTAATACATTGAAAATTAAAGATTAAAATAAGGATGAAGTAATTGCAATTCGCAAAACTATTATGCTGAGTTATCACCTGATTTGGTGACATTCTATATTTGAAATTATTGTTTTTCTATATTAAGTTTCAAGTTTAATTTGATTTTTACCTTGTTTTACATATAAATGAATTTAATTAATTATCATGCAATACTATATTATGTACTCACAGAAATTGTTTTCTTGTAAGAACTGTATATACTATGTAATTGAAATTGCCATTTGGCCTGTGCCTTGGCATTAAATAAACAAAATCTAAATCTAAAATCTAAATTTATTGAACGTAAATAAAATTTTATTAACATCGACACTTTAAGTTACATTTTTGTTTAATTTTAAATAAAAACACAAAACAATACTGAAAAGAAATAATTCAAAATTTTTATTTTGATATCAAATAAATTACAAATTCTATATTATATAAATAAAAATTTCTTGCGTTATTTTTATTTTCAAAAATTAGATGTTATCAAAACACCACAATAGGTTAAAATTATAAAATAACTTTGTTTTTATAAATAAGTCTATAATAGATTTTTTTAATCGATTGCATTACTGAATACACATATTTGATTGTAATAGAAAACATAAATTGTGATGAAATTCTATTTTTATTTTCATTATTATTATTTTTCTTATTATTATCAACATTATCAATATAGTGAAACAGACAATTATTGTACAGTAAAATAGTGCCATTTTACAGTGAAGTGGTTGCGTGGAAGCTTTTTACACGGTTTAATTGAATATTAACATTAATAATGTTTTTTTTATCAAATTAATTTTAGTTTATCGCTTTCTCTCATCATTCGTTAATATTAGTAGTACTATTATTTAATCTGTAATTATTATGATTATAATTATTTTTATAACTAATATTATCATTACATTATTATTATTATTATTATTATTATTATTATTTCTTCTTACATTCATTATTCGATCCCTGATCATTTATTAATATTATTCAAAGAGTAATGTACTCCCGTAATTGTTGATCGGTTTCCGGCGTTAATGTAGCAATCATTTGATCAAATTGATTGCTACTCATGATTCTCCGCAGTGTGTTCAGCTATAAATTAAAATGTGTTAACTATTGTAGTAGATATTAATATAAAAAAATTGTATTGTATTGTATAAACGAAAATTACTTACTTGATTTTGTAGAAATTCTTTTAGACAAACAGTACGAACTGGATCATCAAAGTCTAATCGTTTTAATCGTAATTGATGTTCAGTCTTATGCTGTCCATTCTCTTCAACAGATGATGCATGCTCATCTGCTACATTATTAACCAATAATAATGAACTGAAATAATAATAAAAAAAAATTATTTATCAATTATAAATACATGAATCTTATGTTATGATTTATGATTAATTTTCTTAATTGGTCAATCGAGAACTATCTTTTACTTTTAGAGATTGTTAAAATTTAATCGATTTTTAAAAATTTAAATAAATAAAAAAATAAAATCTTTCATTTTAAGATTAAAATAAATATTCCTTACTCAATATAAAGCTCCATATCGTCAAGTCTCATAATATCATTTAAAACCTCAACAATACTGCCAATAATTGTTGAGAAATTTTGAAACACAACAGGTGGACTATTGGCATTGAGAAGAGAGCATAAAGCTAATGCAAGAATTTTCATTCCCTCAGATTGAGTGACATATGACATATGAACAAGCCACACATCTATTATCCGAGCCATTACTGTTTCTTCGTTTTCCTCACCGCCGATTTCTTTTACTAATTCACTTATTACCTATAACATAATAAATTAATATCGATAGTACTAACTTCAACATTTAAATCGATTAATTACCTCTACAATTATTTTATATTTTGACAGATGAAAAAAAGTATGTTGAATTTACCTGAGCGAAGATATCTCTTGCATTGAGTAATACACGAGACGTAATGATAAGACCCATACTCATCATCATTATAACTTGATCCTCCTCACCCAAATAAACGAGTCTGAAATTAATATCAAATAATAATTATTTTTTTTTTTTATCAATAACATTTCCAAAAAAAAAAAAAAAAATACAAACAATAAAAAAACTAACTTGAAAATTTTTGTTAAGATAGGTTTAATCAATTGAGCTCCTTGTTCTGGAGCAACCCTTAATATTGTTTCTAACAATTCCATTACCGGTAAGGCATCTTGTGATCTCAAGTCAGACATAATAGATTTGATACCTCCAATTATACGACTTCCTAATTCCCCTACAAAGTCTTGCGGACTTAATAATATATACGCTTGAATAATATTAATAGCCGGCTTAAAAGTTACTTGATCTAAACCAAAATCTGTAAATTACAGTAAATTATTGATGAACAAGTTTAATGAAAAAGTTTAAAAATAAATAAAAAGATAATATTTACCTAAAAGAGCCGGCATATTTTGAACAAGCTCCATAATTCCGGGTGTAGGCGTAGCAATATTTTCAAGAAGTGCCAGCCATAACTCTAAGCCGTCTTCCATTAAATACACATGAGCATCTTGATTGAGATCACAACTTAAGCCCACCATACTTACAATCATTGGTTCAACAATAATACATTCTGAACGTAAAGCCTAAAATAGCATATATCATATTATTGTCAAAAAATATTTTTTTTTTTTTTTCACGATCTTTTGGTTCCCACAAATAGGTTATTAAAAATCCAACTTACTTTTACATAATGTACAAGAGTAGAAATTATGGCACATCTCATCATATTATGTTTCTCTGAAATTTCCCAAAGTTGTGGTAAATAAGCACTAAGCGGTCCAACATAAGGCCGAATATCGTTACCAACTCGTTCTATTACAAATGACAACACATATAAAACTTGCATCTGAAAAAAAAAAAAAAAAAAACCAAAAAAAAAAAAAATTAATTAATTAATTAATTGTTATATAAAAAAGATTAAAATATTTAGTAGTATGAAATGACAATAATGGAACAATGGAACATACTTTGGTATCACACTCAGTAACCTCTCGTAAAAGATTGAACAGTAATAAAAATGTCGTTTCGAGGAAGGGCATAAATTCATCAATATGAAATTGGAAATCATCTAATGCTTGTTTCAATGTGTTACTAGCCTCTAATCGCACAACCAGATCCTCATCAGAGCTCAAAGCTTTAATCATCAGTTTATAAAGTTCAGGAATTAATTTTTCGCTCAATTTAACTCTTGTCCATTGACCAATAAGCCAACAAACTCGTCTTTTTATAATCCTATAATTATTACTTTTAACTTCTAATTCTTGTCTAAGTGTTGTCGAGAACCATTGATCAAAATTAACTTCATCATAAAGATCAAATGCGACGAGACCAACGGCAAGGTAAACTGCGTCTTTCATTAAAATAGCCCGCCAATCATTTGGATCTACGGGCTGATGATATCTCTGCATTAAATCCATTAACACAGATGACATAACATTAATCGATTGTGGGAATATTGACAAGAAAACAGTTTGTGTACACACTCGTAAATTATATTTCCATGATTCTCGTGAGTCTTCAACAGCAAAATTTTCAGGATCAGTATCCCACATTTGTAAATCCTCTTGAGTAAGTAAAAAGTAATGAGTAACTAGTTTTGAACAGATTTCTTTTAATACTTCTGGAGTAAAAAATTCTTGTTTTAATTGATGTACACGCTGGGCAATATCATCTTTTTGACAATTAACGTCGGCAGCGGTAATTTTTCTGTAGTCTGAATGAATTAATATAGCTTTCATAAGATTCAAACACTGAATAACAAATTTTTCAAATGTCAATGGTTTTCCATCCTCGGTAAAACAATAAAAAAATGTAAATTCTAATGAAGCTGGTATAAATTCAACATAACATTTTGGATGATTATTTAATGCTCCATTTAAAACTTTGGTCAAATGTATAATAAATTTTTCAAGTGACTCAACCTGGAATCCGCGACACATTAATGTTTTGCGACACTCTAAACAAACTTTCGCTTTTGAAAAGATGACTTTTAAAAACATCATTGCGTCTTCAGACTTTGAAATATTGTAAAAACCATTTACTGTTAGTTTTCGTAAAATTCTTAAAGACAGTAATGCCATTTCTAATGCTTCTTGTATTTGATTTTCTGGTACTGCTGCATTCGATGCCAATATAAAAAATGATTCAGTATATGTATTCCATATATTAAGAATAAAATTAAACATATTCGTCGTTAATTGTTCAAATAATTTAATGTCTGCAAGCAAACGTTTAGACGCTAAGGTTTTTACAACATGATGAAGTGTTAACAACGCACGATGTTTTGCTATTGAATTTTCTCCGCGTATCACTTCCAATAAAGTAGGTACTAATGTGTCCCATTCACGTGGACAGTCCAGCCTGGCTATTTTTCCAATCACAACTGCTAAATGAGTTGCTAATTGATTTATTGGCTCATCAAAACTTGCTATGAGACTACGCCGTAAAAATTCTTTTTCTTCTTCTGCTATTGCGCTGGAATATTTAAATATTTTTATTAATTTGGTTCTTTACTTACAATAAGTAGTAACTTTCATAAACTTAGGATAATTTTTTATTAATTGTAAAATTTTAATTCAATTATATTGAGCTATTTATGATTAAAATATAATTGTACTGACAGTAAAAATAACTTAGTATTTTCTAAATTATTTCTTACTAAAATATTTATTACTTGAAAAAACTTAAAAATTTTTGATTTTTGCTTTTTGCTTTTAAAGATCTTATAAACTAAAATTCAGACATCAAAAGTATTATTTATTTAAATTTTCGGTATCTAAAGTGTAAACTAATAATAATTTAATTTACCCGAATTTAATTATTAAAATGTTGACTAGTAATATAAAATATGTAACCATAACCGGCCGGATGATAGTAAGCAATAACACCTTAACCAACATTTATTTCGAAATTTTTTAGATAGCAAATTTGGTTTTTAGAAATGCTTGTTTACGATAAATACACTCTCGAAAAAGTTGTTTTTAAAAATGTTGATTACAAGGTAACTGCTTATCAATATCCAACTAAAATAAAAATGAAAAAAGTAAAATTTTTACTTTGGGGCGTTTTTCCTCCAATATCTCTCGACACCGTTTTTAAAACATAATAAAGCCATCCATCTCACATTAACAGGTAATGTATGGTTAGAAAAGACATTCTGAAAATAATGATCAATAAGTTATTAATTATAATAATATATGATATCATTAATTGGTCAATTTATGTTCAAACAACATACATATAAAGCAGTATAAAATCCACTCTGTGTTTCCCATTCTCTCAGCATTTGTTCAGCTGGTTTCAAGACACTTGGATCCTGGCTACCAGCACGCTGGAGAACATCAATCACAGCCGCGTTCATGGCTTACGTTCGGACGATTTATTTATTAAAATTTCAAGCATCGAATATATAATTTTCAATCCACATTAACCATCACAATTGAACCTAAACTAAAAATGTGGTAGTAAATATAATCATTAGGACTTATACTGAATTTTAAAATTACTTTCAATTTTTTTTTGTTAATTATAAATTTTTTTCAACTTCATAAAACTCAAATAATTTTTTATATTTTGACATTATAATTGATAATTGATAATGTTTCAACATAAAAGGTAGTAAATATCTTAAAAGGTTTCGAGCATTTTTAACCTATAAGACAGCTGCACGTTGAAATAATAAATTATTATTACTTACAACTAATAACTCAGTCACAAAAAATGAATAAACTATATTGACATAATTTGTTAATATTAATGAATATATACACCACAAAATAAAATGAGAAATAATTAAATCTTGATGAGTTATACGTTAAAAAAATAAATTAAATATATAGAAAATCTGTGTCGACATTTCAATACGCAATATCCTCTGACTTCTCGTGTTGTCTCTTTTTAATTATTATATATATATATATATATATATATATATATATTTATATTTTTTTTTATATATATTTTTCAAGCTGGTTGTTATTTTCTTTTCAAACAGCCTCTTTGCTTAATTGTCAATTATACAACAATAATAAAACAACACTATTAATATATATAAAAATCATCACACTGCACTATTACAATGAATGTATCTTTGCGGAGTAAGAAAAAATAAAACGATCGAAGATAATGAAGGTGCACATTACATGAGTGTGCTCTACTCGTGTACTCGTTTCTCTTAACTCTCAGTTAAGTATACATATAGATATAGGTGTAACCTATATCGCACATCGCACATATGCCGGTTATTCATCTATTGTGTTTATATTAACTTATTTTTTATTTTAAAATACATACATCGACATTTATTGTTTTTAAATAAAATATTTTCATGGCAAATTATAAATTTTTTCTGACAACTCGCACGTTGTTTAATTCAAATTATTTATTAACAAAAAAAAATACCGGCAAACAATTTGGAGAAAACTAAACTTTTTTATGAAAATATAAATACTGAATATTATTTATTTCTATTCATTAAATTTGATTATTTACTTAAAATTTAACAAGATCTAATCATAAAAAAAAAAATATTTCAATTCTAAATTACTTAACGAAAAATTATCAACTGAAAATAATGATAAAACAACTTTTCGGATGAATGAACAGAAACCTGGACTATTTTATAATTTCATTTAATAAATCAATTAGTATTAAAAATTTGTATTGATTATTTTTTACACTTGTATAGGTAAATTTTTTATATTTTTTTTTTTTTTTTTTTTTTCTAACTTATTCGTTAGAAAAATTATCATATATCTATAAATTTTAGTATTATTTTAATTTTTACCTAACAATATTACAAATGTTTTTGATTAATGATTTATGTATATTAATAATAATAAATGCAAATTTTCTTAGTTTTCAAACATAAAAGATAAAAAAAATATTTTTTCTAATCATTTTTGTAGTAAATTTTAATCAAATTAATAAAAATGATTATTTTAAGTAAATTTAATTTATTTGAAAATTATAATCAAGAAATTGAAATTAAAAAAAAACATACGTTCCCGCGTAAAATAGTTACCTTCTTTACCTTCTCCATCTAAACGTGACTTGTGTGCTGCACTGCGCAAGAGGTTAAGAATTAACGCATGTTGGTTCTTTTTCCTAAGTTTCGTGAAGTGTTCACATCGTTGTCATCATGAAGGTACAAATCCGCAAATAATAATTTAATCTTAACAATTGATAAAAATCTAAATAGTTTAACGAAAAAAGTGAATTATTTTTAATGTGTTGATGTGAATATTTTAATAATTTGTTGAATATATTGTTCTTAAAATGCATGAGTTCACAAATAAGTGTCACTTGCCGCTCTTAAATTTACTAAAATCAAATTTTTTAAATAAACAAACAAATGACTTCACTAATAAATTACTTATTTAAGCCATTATCAATAATTATAATATTCTTTTGCTAAAATTAAATTTTAATTAACAACTTATTATTGGGGGTTAACTTAACCTCACTTTGCTATGGAGCTTGTGAGTGGTTATAATGAATAATTTTTATTAAGTTTATAACTTTTTTTTATAGCTTAACGTTTCTTACCCGGCAACGGGATGCCAAAAATTGATTGAAATCGTTGACGAACATAAAGTCAGAATCTTCTACGAGAAGCGTATGGGCGCTGAGATAGAAGCTGATTCTCTTGGCGATGAATGGAAAGGATACGTTGTACGTATTGCTGGTGGAAATGACAAGCAAGGATTCCCCATGAAACAAGGAGTCTTGACCAATGGTTTGTATAATTATTTTTTAAATTATGTTTCGTACTTTTTATTTATTCATTTTTTTTTATCTTTAGGTCGTGTAAGATTGTTGCTGTCAAAGGGTCACTCTTGTTACAGACCACGTCGTGATGGTGAGCGTAAACGTAAGTCTGTTCGTGGTTGCATTGTTGACGCCAACCTTTCGGTCTTGGCTCTTGTCATCGTCAAAAAAGGAGAACAGGTAATACATATAATTATTATTATTTTTTCATTATCAATATTAATTTACTAATTGATTTCCATGATACACAACAAGTGTCCAAGTGTGATTTTAAAATCTTGGATATGTTTATGGTCGTGGAAGATTATCTGAGTTTTAAGATTTGGGAGACTAAGTTTAATACATTTTCTCTCAGTGTAGGAATTCGACATTTTAACATTTTTTTTTTTACTTATAATTGATGATTAAAAATATATATATTAGGGTGGCCCAAAAAAACCGACTATTTTTTTTTTTAGTCTCGAGTAAAAAAAAGTTAGTTTTTGATGTTTTAAGCTCTCCAAAGGACAGCTAAAAAAAAATTTTTAAGAGGTCGCTCCAAATTTTTTTAAATTTAAAAAATCGAATTTTTTTTTATTTTTTATCTCGTTACGTCATAATTTAATAGACCAAAAAAGAATAATTTCGTGAAAGTTTCAATTCAAAATTTAAATTTTGAAAGGTCGCTCATAATTTTTTTTTTTAATTTCAGAGTAAAAAATTCTAATCCAATGGAATAGCCACTAATAAATTTAAAAAAATTATGAGCTACCTTTTAAAATTCACATTTTGAACTGAAACTTTCAGGAAAATCTTTTTTTTTTTTTGGTCTATTAAATTATGACGTAACGAGATAAAAAATAAAAAAAAATTCGATTTTTTAAATTTAAAAAAATTTGTTCGATTTTTTGAAGTTTAAAAAAATTTGGAGCGACCCCTTAAAAATTTTTTTTAAGCTATCCTTTGGAGAGAGCTCAAAACATCAAAAACTAACTTTTTTTTTACTCGAGACTCAAAAAAAAAAATAGTCGGTTTTTTTGCGCCACTCTAATATATATATATATGTTAATAATTTTTTTTTTCCTTGCTGAGTTGTACTCAGCTGGCCTTTGGGGAGTCCCGTACAGCCAATGTTTGTGGTTTGTTGATTATTAATTTTTTTTATCAACTTAAATTAAAGGATATTCCCGGACTTACCGACAAAAACTTGCCCCGTCGATTGGGACCAAAGAGAGCCGGAAGAATACGCAAGCTATTCAATTTGACTAAAGAAGATGATGTACGTGAATTCGTTGTCAAGCGACCTGTTACAAAAGAAGGCAAAAAAGAGTGCTTCAAGGCTCCCAAGATTCAGCGTCTTATCACTCCTGTAACCCTTCAGGTAATAACACTACTTTTTAATATTGTTTTTTTTTTTTGAATTTATTATCGATAATTTGGTTACTAATTATTTATTTGAATTTGTAGCGCAAACGTCATAGAGTTGCTTTGAAGAAGAGACGTTGCGTTCAACGCAAAGAGCAAGCTGCTGAGTATGCCAAGCTCTTGGCTCAAAGACAGAAGGAAGCTAAAGCCAGGCGTGCTGAAGAAATAAAGAGAAAACGCAGCGCTTCAATGCGTGACTCGAAATCATCCAGCCAATCGGCTCCTGTTGCTAATAAGTAAATTTAACAACGGATATGTATTACAAGAAATAAAATAATTTTTATCCGTAACTAATCTTTGTTATTTAATCTATTAAAATTAATTTTTTAATATCAGTAAAATGCATATTTTTTATTAGTCAACATTTATTATTCAGTTATTCGTTTATTATAAGTTTTAATTAAAAACAAATGATAATAATTTTAAATCTTATTATTATTTAACTGTCAAAATTTAGTTATGTGACTTACTTAACACAAAATAATAGTAATTAGGTTGTTGAATAATCAATAATTTTAAAAAATGGTTCATTCGTGGAATTCAAATATGAAAAGCATACCTAAGGAGTCACAAGGAATCGAAATTATTAGATCTATTTTCCAATCGATAAATGTTAATCAACAGCAATTACCGGGTTCCTTAACATATTCAGAATTAAAACCTAAAAGTTTAAATAATGTCAGTAAGCAGTCGAAACTTAATTCAAAAGCAAGAAGTAAATTTTTTTATAAAAATTGCTTTGTAAAGAAAGATATAAAATCAACAAATAATATTCAACAAATTGGTAATGAATCTTTCGATACTGTTCCCGGAGGTAAGTCAAATTTAGATGAATGGATTCATCCAAATATTTCTTCGAATAAAGTTAATTTATTGTGGATCAATAATCATAAAAAATTTAAATCATTCAATGAGAAAGTTGATAGTTCTATTGATAAAAATCCAACACCAACTTCAGTTCCGTTCAATCAAAGAAGACTAGAAGAAATCCGTCAATATGTAGAACATATTTTAGCTCAAGAAGATAATAAAAGCTTCAATGAAATACCGGTAAAAATTGATACGTCAAAAGACGAATTTTCGTTTAACATAGACGCTAATCAACAAAATAAAAATGAAAAGTATAATCAAATCAATTTTTCAATTAATAATTATTATCAATCACCCGACTTATCAAAAAAATTTAAAAGCACTCATGAAAATATTGTACAGCAGGATTCATTTCACACAACAAAAATAGATAGACAGAAAACATTTAGCTGTAAAAAAGAACTTGAAACAAGTACTGGATTTAAAAGTAAAACTATTGGTAGATCAAAAGATGAATTAAATAGTTCAAGATACAGTGAATCAATTAAATCTAAACAACTCAAAACAGCAGATGATGTAATAGATCAAAAAAAAAATAATTCAAAACCAAATCCCGTTAATAACAAGTTGAGTGCAGTGCTGACAGGCCAGTTCAAAACAGCTGCCAAGCCATCAAAAATGTTGATTCCTCAGAATTTTCGCGGACGTGCTCTATTCCAATCTTTTATGCATATGAATGATCTTCCAGAAAATCGAGAAGCTGTAAGTAATAATCACAAAAATAATAAGTTAAAATCTTCACCGGAAAATTTAAAAAGTCGAAAGGTCAATAGTCCTGTGCATCCAACTCAAAAATCTTCGGTTTCAAATAAAATATCTCCACGACATAATATTGTAGTTTGTGGCTCTCAAAAATTGAAATCACAAAATAAAAAAGTTATCAAAAATAAAGATGAACCACAAACTAGACTAGTGAGATCTAAGACATTTGTTACAGAAAAAAAATTAGACTTAGCAGCAAAAAAAGAAGTAAATGAAAAAATAAAAACTGATAGCGTAGAATTAAAAAAAGAAAATTATAGAGAAGGAATTAATGTCGAAGATGTTATAAATTCAAAATATTCATTGATATCAGAAGAAATATCTTCTGAAAAAGAATACTCTTGTAAGCTAATTGAATTAAATAAAACATTAAAAAATACTTCTGATAATGAATTAAATAATTTAGTTGAAAATAATTCAAAAATTGATTTTTTAAATGATAATAAAAACGAAAAAATAAATTTCAATGATGATTTAAAAGAATTAAATACCGCAGTTTTATTAAAAGATAATAAATTACATCAAGTTGATACTTTTACGGAAACTAAATGGTTTAGTCAATTGAGTAAAGTCGATACTTTTACAGAAACTGAATTTTCAATCAATCAATTAAATCAAATAAATGCTTATACAGAAACCGATTTAATTGATTGTGAGCACAAAACTACTCAGTCAGTTGATGTAAAAACTTCTTGTGACAATTTAAAGTCTCTAATGTCTACCAATGAAATATCAAGTCAAGTATTTATAGATGCTGAAGTATTTTGCAATATTCCGTTAATTGATACAATCAAAGAAGAATCTCTCGAAGATTTATTCGGTCATGAATCTTACTGCGTTGCTGATACACAAACTTCTGAGACATTATTGTTGAAATATTTTTCAGCAAAAAAAAAAGACGCTTCGATTGAAACAATAAAATTAAAATATCAATGTGAAAATACAAATACCGAACAAGTAGTTTTAATTGATACAGCAACTGGAAGAGATACACTTGATATTCAGAATTTCAATTGTGATTCGCAATCAATCAATACAGATAATCATCTTTATGGATTGTCATCAGAAAATTTCAAAATCACGACCCATGATGTTGAATGTCAGGTTAGCAAGTTAAATTGTTTAGCTAGTATAGATTTTGATAGAACATCTAATGCGGCATCCGCGATATCTTTTGAACAAGTTGTTTCTAATCTTTCAAGTGAATTGATATCGTCACAAAAATCGTTACAAGAGTGCACTAGTAAAATTTCAGATTATGATGTTGTTAGTTGTGGAAGTTTGAATAATATTCCCACAGAAGTGATCAAAGCATTTAAAATAGCAACTGAACGTGCGCAAAATTTGTATCAAGCATATAAAATTTACCAAGAATATCAACAAAATAAACAAGAATCTGATGATAATCTTGTTGAAAATAACCCGGAAAAAATTTTACCCAATGGTACTGTGTGTGAAGAAATAAAATCTAGTAATTTAATTGAAAAAAAAAATTCTGATTCTGGAATTCAAGAAATAAGATTTATTGTACAAAAACTTTTAGATGGAATAGAAGAAAAAACAATAAATGTAAAGGAAGATAAATTAAAGAATCATAAAGATGAACTATCTATTGGTAATTCATCAGAATTATTATTATCAGTATCATCATCATCATCATCTTCATTATCGAATATTGAAAATTTAAATCCTTCAATACATTCCATAATATCCAAAAGAACAATTTTACCGATCATTTACGGGACACTTTGTTCATTTATATTTTGGTCACTTCAATTTTCTGCTTACTATGAAATAAATTAAGCTAAATAAAAACAGTTTCATTAATTAACATAGAAAACTTATATTTTTATTTATAAAGATAGATACATCTCATTTTAAAGGTAACAAATATATGCCTTTTTAATACATGAAGAAAACTAACATGTTTTCATTAAAATGAAAAAAAAAAATTTTATTCTTCGTAAACATCGACCGTAGCAGAACCAGTAACATCGACAAGTTGATCTGATGTGAAAGTTGCGATAATTTGTTGTCGTCCACTTTTTTGTGGTACTAATTCATGTTCCACTTGTATGTCTTCTAATGGACCAACATCGCGGAATTTTAATGTTTTATTTTTCGAAATTCCTGGTCCAGCATAATTGAACACACAGTTAGTTAAAGCTATTTTCAGAGGATTTCTAAAACTTAAGGTAATTGTTGATGATTGGCCGACCATCGGATCTCCCGCGATCTAAAAATAATTAAAATACATAAAAAAAAAAAAAAAAATTAAATTCATATTTTATATTATCCAAACTTTTAAAAATAATTTTTAATAAATAAAATACCTGTACTTTAATAGTTGGCTTAATAACTTGGAAATCATCCTCATCTGCCCAGGTTTGATTGGTCTCCTCTACTGTTGCAATGGCATTTATTTTCATAATTGAATACTCAACTAATTTATCTAAATATTCATCAACAGTAACTCTTAATCTAAGTTGTTCCTCTGAAAATAAAAAAATTATAATTTTAAATTAAAGTAAATAAATTATAATAATTTTAATAATTATGAAAATCCTCACTAGCATTAGGCTGCACAACGAAATTGCCTTCAGCTCTTTTTACCAGGTTTGCCTTGACGCCATTGTAATAAACACTTCCAGCCCAAAGTACAGCTTTAATAGTTCTTGGTACAGCTGCTTTGTTAACAATATTCACGGTGATGGAGAATGATTCGCCAATGTTAACTCGTTCTAAATCAACTAGCTTGAATTCAAGGTCCTCGTTTTCAGGAGCCGGTACTGAAAAAAATCTTTTGGCGGTCGGAGTGCTACGTACGGCTCGGTACAAGGTCAATCTTTCATCTCCGGAACCTGACATTTAATTATCAAGATATTTTATTACTTAAATAAAAATTAAATATTTATTAATGTTCGATCAATAATCACTATCATTATGTTCCTTTACCTTCTGGGGATTTGTATTGTAATGTGATGTCTTCACGATCTCTATCACCATTCGGATCAAAGATCCAAGGAGCCTTTGTAAGAATCATTCGTCCAATACTGTAATAAATTACATGCTTATTAGTAACGCATAATTTATTTACTTCACACCATTAATAGTAATAAAATTTATATTAGGTTTTCTTTTTTTATTTACTACTTTTTTATTTCATAGCTCGCCTTGGAATTTTTAAAAAAATTTCTAAGTTTTATAAATCAGTATAATGATGATTAAATTTTAAATCATTATATTTTTATAATCATATAATTAAATATAAACCATTCTTTAAAAATTAAAGCTTATTTAATTGAACATTAATCATTAATTACTTGTTAATAATAAATTATAATTGGAATAGCATATAATAGCAAGCAATGCAGTTAAAAATTATACACGGAAAAAAATACTGTAAATTTACATTTTAAATATTGAAATGTTAAAAATTCAATTTTTGTTTATAAATTAAAATTAATTGAACATAGGAAAAAAATCATTGTAATTAATATGATAAAATTGTAAATATAAAAAAATTTGGAATGCGTATAATATAAATTTGAAGTAAAAAAAATTAAAAAAATTTTTTTGGTTCTTTTTAACAAATAAATAAGTATGAAGAAAATATTTAAAAAATATTTATAGTTTTTGAAACCTTCAACAAGTAAAATTTCTTTAAAACTTTCACTCTGATAATTCATATGTAAAATAAAATCCAAAAAATGGTAAAATGACTATTGATTTTGGATTCATTAAATTTTAACATGCGGATAATGAATGTTATCAATTAAAAATTGATACTGAAATTTTATTATTTGAAATGTTTATGAGTAATAAATTTTTCCATGTAATATATTTATCTACATTAAATTTTAGTTATTTTTTTTTTCAATAACTATATGATTCTTTGTAATTTAAAAGCTTTTGAAATTCCAAACCATAAGTTGTATCAAAATTGATTAGTTTGTTCTTTTCCAAAAATTTTAAAACATAAATTCAGTAATTGATGAAAAAAAAAAAAAAAAATACTAACTGTTTGGTATCACCATTAATACGTGAAAATCCAATAATGCTATTTGGATCTTCTTTCCAGCCAATTACATCGGCATTAACAGTAGCGACTAAGAAAGTGATATCGTAATTTAATCCAACGACTCCTTGTTTGATAGCTTCCACAGATGCTGGCCCACAACGATAAAATCTATCAGAAGCTTCTTGAGGTGTTCCATCAATAGCTTGCCAACCTCCGTATCCTTTTGGTAAATCTGGGCGTGCCATCCATACGTCATTCCAAACGTGATAGTTCCATATTGAATCAGTATTGGTCAAGTTGTTTGGATCGCGTTCTAGCGGTTTCATGTTAATGTCGTAATAACGATCTATCGAAAGCGATGCATTCGCATCGTGAGCTGATACCAGATTGGTAATTACACGTGATGGTAATCCCAGAGCACGACAAATAGTTGTAACAACTCCGGCAAATACCCAGCATTGACCATATTTTACGTAATCGCCGCCTGATTCAAGATATTGTTCCAAAATCGGTACACTTCCAGTCCATGCTGCTGGTGCGGTCCCATCTTCATATTTACCATCCCACCGACCAAACAGGATACCATTAAATACTTCTTTATCGTCTATTATATTGTAACAATTGACCTGTAAATTATTTACTTTATTTTTCTTGTCTACAAATTACCTAAGAAAAAAGTTTTTCATAACATTTTATATAATTTTATGATACTAAAATCAGCAGAAACTTAATCATTTTTTTTTTTTTATTTATCAATTAAATTAGTACTAAAAAATACTATTTTTAAATTTGTATTCATGATTTCTTAAATTTCTACATATTCAACTTTTTTAAAAAATTTTTCATTCATAATTTATTTGTTTAAAAAATCCTAAAAATTTTGAGATGCCTGTTAATTTCAATATTACATATAATTCTATGAAAATCCATTGAATTTCAAAAAATTTCATAAAATTCAATTAAAATTTTTTTTTATTTAAATCAAAAGAAATTAATTATAAAAATCCGAGCATTTCATGTTTAAACGGTGTTACAGATTGCCACAATTTTTATCATCAAATAAAAATTTCAAAATTTGCTTACAAATATTTAATCAATTACTATGATAAAATGTAAACTCTTATTCTCATTGTTTTTTTTTTTTTTTTTTCTACATTTTTTGTTGCAAATTATTTGTTTTTCTCGAAAGTTAAATAACAATGAAATTAAATAAAATTTTTAATTATAAATGGCCTAATAAATTTAATTAAAAAATTATATCCTGGGTACTTCACTTGATCATCGAGAATTTACAGTGAATTAATATAAATAAGAATAATAAATTTATACCATTTTCGAAATAGTTCGTGCGACTTTAACAGGATCTCCACGTAATATTGGCTTAATATTTGATTTTTCAAACATTAACATACAAGCTGGTAAAACACTGGCATCAAATTGTCCAAAAATCCATTCTCTTCCTCTAGTACTTCCATGTGGTCCAACCCAAATTTTACCGACGTCATTCAAAATATACTCATCTAGTAAAGTTTCATCTTTCATGTAAACCAAATCCTCTGCAAGAAAAAAAAAAATGATTATGATTTGTAATACTGTGCTTACAAAAAAATAAATGATAGTCATTAAAACTTTTTTATATCTATTTATACCTTTTATCCAAGGATTGAAAAGCAAGTAAATGTCATTGTCATACTGATAAACATTTGGTGCATCTTTACTGTCAGTAGTAGTCGTTTCAATATTTAGTTGCCATACACCAACCGGACTGTCAACGGGACTTCTTACTTCAACTGACAAATCTGTTTCACTGACACCAATCATCCTGACACCCCAGGCTTCAAGGTCTGTTAAATATGAATCACGCGATTTTACAACATCTACTCCTTGTGTTCCGCGAAAAACATTTGGATTCGGTCCAAAGTTGAATAATAATCTCACAATATCTGTTTCATCATTGTACTCCCGATCAAATCTGATCGCAATGTTGAAAGTTTGTCCACGACGAAGAATCGGTGTCGGTGGATCCAAATGAACTAATTCATAGTTTATTGTATTGTGAATTTTAGCATTATCTTTTTCGTACATGTAAACTGTGTCAACAACTAATGGTTCCATCTAAAAAAAAAAAGCAATTGAAAATACAAATCCTAATTAACAAATAATAGAAAAAATACAGTATTTACAAACTTTTATAGCTTGTATTATAAGTATACTGATGGCGAATCTAAATCAAAAAAAGTTATTTTATAAAACCAGGTAAAGAAAAAGACCACTTTATGTAGAAAAAAATTTTCTAATTTTTTTTTTTAAATCCTCGAAATAAGATTTTTTAATTTACTGACAAAAAAAAAAAAAGATTTACAATCTATATAATTAAAAAAATAAGGAAAATTATGTGAAGAGCATATATTTTTTATAAGTCGGGTTTTTATCATTAAATTTGGTACCATCAGAATGCTCATGGCTTGGATTTATATCATTGCATTATTTTATATGTTTTGTAGTGTTAGTTAATATTTTATTATATGTTTTTGAAAGAATTTTGAATAATTTTTGCTTCTATAAGTCAATTCCATCATATCTTATATTAAATTATCGGTAGTTTAATTAATCTTGTCTTAGAGATATTATTTAAAAAAATTTTTCTAAAAGTTCCTAAATTATGTATATTGTAACAAAAAATTTCTAAGCTCATTAACCACAATTAGTGCAATTCAGTAATTGTTTAAGTATGTTACAAATTTTTTTGTTTTGATTTCGTTCTTCATTACAGCGAATTTATGAATCTTTTATTAATATTTACAAAATTTTTATTTTTTTTTTGTCATAGTTTGAAAATAAAGAAAAAACTTGATTGTCTCGTTTTTCATTGATATTCTTCCTTTCATTTGATAGAGTGCTATTAAAAATTGCTGATTTAGACTTGACCAATTTTTAAAAAAATTTACTTCGCAATTACTACATTTTTTAACTGAAATTAAGCCAAAATATAAAAAATATATAAACAACTCTTTCAAGTAAAAATTTCGATACTAAATTAATAATAATTAGTATCTATTATAATTTATTAGATAAAATTTTTCTAGATATTCAGAAGTTGAAAAAATAATCAAAAATTGTATTTTTCAATGACTCAATACACAATGCGAATTTAGAAAAAAGAAAGATATTTGTGAACTTACAATTAAATAATTAAACACTTGGCGTAAAATTAAATTTTCCTTACGACTTATATCAAAGTATTACCATTGACTAAATGATTCTAAACTCTAAAGCGGAAGAAAAATTTGCGCGTAATAAATTTTAAAACCGTTTTTTGCATATTCAGGTATAATCATTTTTCATACACGTTTTTTCCCCTTGCGAAACTTGTTAAAAATAACAGATAAAAAATTAAATTGACCATGACATAGTCAGATACTTATATTTTATCCTTGATAAAAAAAAAGAAAAAAGATGTATTGATATTGACTGAAGCATGCTATATAACATTTTTATCCACACATAACATAGAATATAATATAACTCATTGATTTGTTTGATCACTTATATTCTTGATAGAAAATGTGTTAAGAATAATGTTAAAAGTATATTAACGACCATTAATCTTAACGATAATTATAATTATTATTAGCTTTACAAATTAGAAAATATAATTATAAGCAATTAACAATTAAAATGATAGATAACTTTTATTGATAAAAAATAAAAAAAAATAAATAATTACAAATCGTGTGAAAATAAAGATTAATGATTTAAGGAAGCATAATTAAAAATAATTATTCATAGTAAATAAAATAGTTAAGTAATAATGTAATAGTTATTTTAATAATTGTAATAGTGATGGTAGCGTTAGGAATAATTATCTTAAAATAGAACGTCATAGTTATTTTAAGAAAATAATATTAATAAATTATTTTAAGGGAACTGTAAGTATAAATAATATAAATATAAATTTAAAAAATTGATGTTATGTATCACATCCGGAACTGAATCATCGATGACGGATGCATCAAACCTTCGATGGGAAAATCCTTTCGCGAGAACTATTGGGCAAATACGCGCGTAATGTAAGTATGTAAGAATGACAATCATTTGCCCGAAATGGTCGCGACATCACAGTGTAGACATACAATGAATCACGAGCTTACAAATAAATCTTAAAACATCCAAGGTAACAGAAAAATACCGTATGATTTTTCATTAATACAGAATTCTGTCACATTAATTCAAGTGTATGTTCTATTAATCAAAAATGACTTAATTGTAAACTGACTCGATTTCTATATATAATTCATTTTCATTCATAACATTATTAATTCACGCGCCGTACTTGTCATAACAACCTAAGTAATTATAACAGACGCATTATTTTTAATTTCAAATAATAGGTATTACGTAAAGCTAAAGCTTTTTTATTGATATTATGTATTGTAAATCAAATTTTTTGCAAATAATTATATTTTTTTAATTTATAAAAAATAGAATAATTAAAAAAATTTTTTTTTTTTCAATTTTCGATTTTAAAAATAAGTCAAAAAATTGACATTAAATTTTTTTTCTCCTAAATTATTTTATTCTAATAAAGTTTCAAAATAAAAATGTAATATTTCACGAAAAAATTTAATCATGAAAATTTCAAGTAATTTTTTGAATTCACGAATTGATTTTTTTCCAAGAAATTCCAAGAATTTTCGAAAACATCAAAACCATTTTTTTTTTTTTTTTTTTTTTTTTTTTTTTAAAGCGTTGTCTTTAAAAATAATAATCAAATCTTTAGATCAATTTTTTTTTATTATAAATTAAGGAAATTTTATATCATGTTTTAAATATTTAAAATCTAATTTTTTTTCGCATAAAATTATTTTGATCGAAACAAACAATATAAATTATTATCCAAATTAGTGCATTTAACTTAAAATTTAATGAAAATTAAGTTAGCTGGTATCTAAAAATTTTTAGAATTTTTGTTTATGGAAAAAATTATTACAAAAAAATTAAAAAAAAATTTTCATGTGTAAATACTTAAAAAACTATAAGTGAAATTTTTTAAAAAATACCTTTTAGTTATAATTTAATAAATAAAAAAAAAAATAAAAAATGTCGGCTAATTTTAGTGAATAATTAATGAAAAGTTATTGTAAGATTTTACGACTGAATTTTAATTAATTTGATAAAAAATATATACATATATTCTTTTTTAAATGAATATTAAAATAATATAATTAATCGCACTTGAGTAAAACGAATGAAAATAAAATTAACTTACCTTTAGAAGTTATGTTCCTTCTGTAAGTGACACAAAATAAAATATAAAAGTATAGGTATTATCCGAAAGTTTATCGTTTACACAGTTGCATTTGATGACACTGAAAGCCTCAGGAAACGAGAGTTGGCTTTTATACTTGTTTCAGCTTCCTACGAAAAGGCACCGCAAATTCCCCACCACACAAGTAAATGCTAAAATGTTTAAAGCATAAAATAACTGACAATTTGTATTCTCGACAAAAAAATCAGTAATGACAACTGCTCCAAATTTTTACAAAAATGCATACTTAAATCACATTATAATTAATTAATTATAGATCTATAATATATTAACATCTTTAACGAATTAAACAGCTAATAGTTATACTCTAATAATTTTAAAAAAAATTTTAAAAAAGATTCTAAGTACGTTTTTATTAATCATATATCTTACAACTTATATGAATTTCAATTTGTACTGAATAAAGAGTGCATTATAAATTTTATTTTTTACTCTTGCTAATACAAATTTAAACCATATGGCCGATTATTTTTGATGCTTGTTAGTATTAAAGAAAAGGTAATATTAATTGAAATCATGCCAAGTAACTTATATAACAATTCATCATTGTAATTATTATTGAGTAATCGAAATTTTTAATCTGAACTGATAAGAAGTAGTTGAAATTAACTCGCTTACTCATTACAATTAAGTAAACTTAATCAACTTAATTTCAATTATATTTGGAAAAAGAAATTCATTATTGATCAAATCACTTGAAATATGACGCATTTTTAATAATACCGAAATCAGCCGAGACTTTTTTCATTTCAAAATTAAATGACTTCTAAGACAATATTAAAAAAAATTATGTTCTGAGTTTTTTTCAATTTCCGTGTATAGAAATTTTTTTTTAATTTTCTGTATAATAATTTTAACAAATATTTAATGCCTAATGATTCCAGTATGTTATTCTTAGGACTTTTCTTTTATTAAATAAATAAATTTTTTTTTACGAAAAAGTTAATAACACTACAAAAATTTTTTCTAATAAAACAAATGACACTGATTGTGCGGACTTCCGCGTCAATAATACACAATAGAAGCGATGAGATAATAATAAGTCGTCTTATTGACTTCAAAAATAAATTTTACATGCTCATAATGAAATGCAATACCAATAAATCACTGCACTGATTTTCATACCTTATTTTAGCATTAAGACTTATTCGTCTAATCATTATGCTAAAAATGAAACGGAACCGTCAATTACTCTGTTAAAAAAAAAAAAAAAATTATTACGTACGATCAAAATAATGCTTCGAGATAAACAATTTTAAGATGGTTGCGGCTTTTGACATTATAATAAACTCGATATTTATAAGTATCATATAAAAAAAAAACTTCCGAGTGATTAAGAATATGTTAATATTTATATGTTTGGATACTTTTTAAGGTCAAAAAATATATTTATGATGAAATATAATTGTATGATCATAGCACCTAACCGAAAATTTTATACTATAATAATAATAATAATAATAATAATTCGAAGGAATAATAAAGATGTTTTTTCACAAGATTTTCATTTTGACGCTGATTAATTGTTCGATAGAAAGTATTAATATTCTTCAACAAATAAATTAGTGTACTAAAAAAATATAAAAAAAAAGTTATATTCATAGTTTTTTTAAAATTTCTATATGTGGAATAAAAAAAAAAAATTTTTTTTTTTTTAATAATTTTTTTGTTGAGAAATATCCTAAAAATCCTATCGTTTAAAAATGTTACAGTATAGTATATTATTAAAATATAAATTTTATCATATTATTGTTAATAAATTATATAGTGAGTTTTATCTAATTTATTATTATTTCATTAAATTTATTGTGAGAATTTTTTTGACTATTGTTATAGTAAAATAAAAAGTTGAAAAAAAAAGAATGATAATAAATAAAATGCATAAAATTAGGACTTCCTTTACACTTTATTGTATTATGTACATTGCTACACATAGTATGTCTGTGATGACTCTCTCGTTTAAAATTTATATTACTATTCATTTTCAACTCTTAATTGATCTTTTCCATGTGTCTAAATAATATAATACGGCTATGAAAACACAACTCTGAGTTTTTTAACTTAATAATTAACAGTTGGATTTAATTCAATTATTTATCGTTTATTGTTTATTTATTTTTTTAGTCCTTATAGTTGCCTTAATTCAAGAAATATACATTTTTGTATTTAGATTCACTACGGGGACGATTAAAATAATTTTCCAATTAATAAGTTTTTTTTTTTATAAATGAGCAATAAGTTTACAATTGACTGCATTAATTACTAAATTTAGCAATTAAAATCTCAGTAAATGCAATTGAAATAAAAATAAGTAATTGTTACAGTAAAAGTATTATTTAATTCAATAAGAGTGTTAATCTAAAAATATGGACCGAGAATTGAGCACTCTTCTTAAATACTAAATCATTTTTTTACTAAGGCAAGTAGTCGGACTTACATTTTAAATAATTTATTACTAATTTTTAATTAAAATATTAATTCAATTGTCTATTGCAATAACGAATTACTTTTATTAATTTAATACTTTTGTTGTTATTAAAAATTGTATAAACGGTTTTTTACAATCAACTAAATTTTGGCACAACAGATTTTTTTCTTCAAAACTGATTTTGAAAAATAAATATAATTTTAACAGTTATAAATTAATACTTTTATACTTAAATATTTTACAAAAAAAAAATATAAATTTTTATATTTTAATCTCATTTTTGATTTTTCTTTAGATATAAATCAGATTTTTATAAATTTTAAACCAAGGTCGATTAAAAGTTATTCGTTATTACAATAAATTATTATAAGTATTTAAATACTTCTAATTAAAATTTTAGCAAAAGCATGATTTCAAGTAATCGTACAAAGCCAGCTTAGTTGGAAAATAGATAATTAATATTTATTTATTTATTATTTCGAATAATATAAGTGCTTATAAGTTAAATAAAGACGATGACCATGCAACGATTAAAAAATGTAACAATAACAAAAATATGTATGTAAACCATGCACAATGTATTAATTAATTATACTTTCCAATGCATATTTGAGAAAAATTGCAGTAATAATATATACTTATAATAACTATTTAATATAACAGCACTTTTTTATTTTATAATCCCTTACTAACAAAATTTATTAAATTATCTTTATATCGTTTTATTTACTTCTTATATGGATGAAACCAACTCTCATTAAACCATTATTCTCAATCATATTATTTATCACAGTCAAAACAGCTTTCCCAATATTCATTATTTATGATTATAATTATTATCATTATCATCAATATCGTTAATCATCAACTTTATCATTTGCGTTTCTCAATTAAAAAAATAAAGAAAAAATACATATTTATGCCTGCGATAATTATCATAAATACACAATTAAATTTTCCCCCTTTAATTTATTTATTTTTGTATATTATGGCAATTTAAAAATTAAATCAAAAATATTTTATCTACTTTGTTTTGTGTAAAATAATAGTTAAACTTAAGAAATTCCGAAAAATTTAGAAAACTAATTCAAAAATGTTTTAGTATCATTATAAACTTAAAAATTTCTTTTTTATTACAAAATATTTTTAAAGAAGTCACAATACTAACCACGAAAATTTTATAAATATCTTAATCAATAACTTAAATACATAATTAGTATATAATTAAATTTATCTCAATTTTAACAAAAAATACATGTATGATATATATATTCAAATTTCAATTAACATAATAAAAAAAAAATAACATTAAACGCCAGAAGATTTTTAACAAAACTCTTTTAACAAATTAATTACTAAAAGCCACGAAAAATTAATAATAAAAAAATGCCCTACTTTTTCGTATTAATCGTATCAAATAAGTAAATAACTATAAAATTTTTGCATTATCTCACTGTTTATATAGTCTTATTAACATTATTTTATTGAGTTTCATTTCCTGTAGGTACACTTGACTAGTTGGAAAAAAGGAATTTATGAGCTCTCCAATTAATATAATGTCATTGTTTAACATATGTTGTTATTTGTCTATAATATTATTGTGTTATAAACTCTATTGAATTAATCAATTGACTTTTATATAACTAATTAATTAATTAATCGATCAAAATTAAATCCTTCATTGTATTTTATTTCTTTGATACTGCAAGCAACCTAATGCGACTCAACGTCTAGCTAGGTATCTAAATTTCTTTCATATATCATTTCCGTTTTCCCTAAAGTTTTTTCCCCTTTAGCCTCTTAAATCTATAAATTAGAATTATATTCTAAATATAACAGATAGCTAAAAAAAGGTAGCGGCCAAAACAACGTGTAGTCTTCACTTGATTAATTTTTCCTTTTGATTTAAATAAATGTAATTTAATTCAAATGAATTCAATTAACACGTCATTTTGTCGAAATTCGTATGATAACGAATATAATGTTTCACGTAATTATTTATATTTTTTTTTTCGGGGCGTTTCATACGCTAACGAGGTAAAGAGAACTCTTAATATTTGGTTGATTTATGATGATATCAAGTCTCCACTTAAGAGGCTAACTTGGCGCATCTTCTGGTTCTATTTTTTCACTCCCATGTACAGTATCATGACTGCCATTGTCTTGATTCATTGTGACAAACTGTTGGGAAAGCGTCTGCAAGCTTTGCCGAACCTATTATGGACATTATTTATTTATTATTAAATTATAATATTTAAAAAAAAAAAATGAGCTTTATTTCTCACAAAAAATGTTTCAATCAATATTTATTTTTATGTAAAATAAAAATTAATATTATAAATAATAAAACCGAAGTATATTTAGTGAAAGTTTTTGACCAATTGTAATGAAAAAACTTTACCTTAATAATTTGATCGAGATTAGTATTGAGATAATGTAATAATCGATCTTGCGTAAATCTTTCTGGGGATGCAAGCGGATGATTGAGGTATGCTGTATGCAATTTATCAATTCTAACCATCATTAAAGCTGCTGATACGTAGAGAGCTGCCAAAAGTGCTACTAAAATAGTGATAACGGTACGTGATCTTAATTGATACTTTAATAGAGATCTTATAATTCCTACTTTTGCTGTTGATACACTTTTGGGCGTTGTGAGTTCCAATCTAAAATTATTATAAAAATAAAAAGTTATAATTTTGTTAAAAACAAATGATAATTATTATTATTATTATTATTTTAAAAAACGTACCTTGGTGGCGTTAAAATTGGTCGTGGAGTAATAGGAGACATACCATCAGTATCAGTACAAACAGTTGGTGGTCTAGACGTTAAGTCAGTACCGCTTTCAGACATACTGGAATCATCTTCTTCAACATTAATTTCAGAATCATCAACCAGCAATGAATCCGGAGTTAATAATTTAACATCAACAGGCAAAGGTAAATCGTCAACTGGTTGTCTACCTTCCAACGCCACATCCCAAACCTGTTTCATCAGTTTAAACGTTGAATCACGTGATAACAGAGAGCAAAAAACATGTCTCTCATCTTCAGTTACAATAGCTATTGCATTTGGAATTATACGAGCAGTCTTTTCCTTGCTTATTTTGAGCACCGAGGTAGTGGGTATGAGAAGTTTTGTAACATAACCAAATACGTTGCTATGGAAAGCAAAATAATTTGATGTGATATAAAGATGTCCTTGTAGAAGAATATCTGCGACTAATGCACAGCTGTAGTAGTTTATTACTCGTTCATCTGGTCCAACCTGATCGTGAAATTTTGAAGACTATCATTAGATTAGCACTGAACTTTATCATAAGTTGAGTCAAAGCTCTATTTACTTTATTAAAAATCATTCTTTCTTCCAATAATCGTTCATCATACGTTATAAGTTAAATTAAAGAATAAATTCTCTCAATTCATACACATGGGAATGATTTTATGCATTTGTTATTACTAATAACTAATAACTAATAATTTGTTAATTTTTATTTTTTCATCAACTCAAATTAATCATCACTGTAGATCAAAGACTAAAATAGAAAAAAATCATGAAATGTCTGTTTTGATTTTGAAAGATTTAAGTAAGCAAAATCTTATAATTTGTTTTTAATAATTATAAAAAATTAATTTTTTTCTTTAATCTTTAATAATAAATTATTTTTTTTAAAGTATATACAATAACATTTATGCAAGGATAAAGTTAGCTATAAAGACAACCGGCACACAATTATTGCTATAGTGGTGACGATAAACAAGTACTTGTAAGCAGAATTAGTTATTACTCAATAATAATGTGCTGATAAAAGATTTTATTTGAAACCATTCCCTGGTGAATCAAATGAAACATCACATTTGAATATGTGGTTATTATAATTTTGTAAAATCGACAATAAAAGGACAAGACAAATGAAAAAAATTGCTGATACATTGGAAGCAAAGAACGACAATGCTTGTAATAAGAACAATAATTTTTAATTACTTGTGTAAAGTGCCTATGGAATTTTTTTTGTCTTGCACTACTGGTTGATGTGGGTGATGATCTTGTGGATGATCTGCTGACAGTAGATGGTGTCTGTGAACCACTGCCAACTGTCATTGATGGTGTACTTCTGCTGAGGGGCTTTGATAATTGGCTGTAACAGTAAAATAAATCAGTTAATATAGTTGTTAAAATAAAATATTGAAATAATATTATATAAGTTGAACCTAAATGAGTAGCTTGTTTTTCGCAAACTCCATAAATCATTACCCCAAACTTCATAATTGAAAGCCATCGTTCTAGATTGACTTTTTGGAAGAGTCTGACGTGGAGATTGTTCATTTACTTTTAAACACTAATAGTTTTATCACTGTATGATATATTATGTATTATAAGTTATCTTTATCATTAATCATTACTGATAATAACAGAAGCTTATGAAGTACTGTTAAAGAAAAATAAGTATTTCCGGTAAATTTTTTCAACAAATTTTATCAAAAAATGAATCATGCTTATTTAACTTATAGTTATTATTTATTATTATAGTATAGATTAATAATAGTACATATAATAGATGAAAAAAATAAAATAGTATTCGATTAACTTTAAGTGAAAATAAAAAAATGTCAACTTTTCTTAGAATTTATCAAATACAAATTATTCAATCGTACGAGTATTTAATTAAAATATTCATCGTAAAAATAGTTGAAAGCTTTTTATCGATTATAATCGATATTATAGTTTTGAAGTTTTTAATATTGAAAAAAATTTTAATTTAACATAAAACGTTGCAAAAAAGGTAGATTATTTTTTAACAATTAGATATTGATTCAATATCCCCTTAACTCCAGTTAAAAAAAAAAAAATAAATGCTTACCGAAAATTGTTAATAAAATTCATCCAAATAATTATAGCACTTTCTAGCATTTTTTTATATTCTACAAAGAAAAATTTTTTTAAATATAAACTTGTAGAATTTTTATGATTTTTATCAAAAAATTTTTGAAAGTGACAATTCGCCCGAAGAGGCACGGGTTACGGATCTCTGCATACAATATACCCGTGTAGATATTTAACACGCACGGGGCACGGGTACGAGCACGGATACAGTGTATGATAGACCCGTGCCTCATCGGGTGGATTCTCACACTCAAAATTTTTTAAGTCGAATAATTGATTTTTTTTAATTTTTAAATTATTCTTTTTTATATGAACATTAAAAAGTAAAATAAGTGAAGTTCATAAAAAACACATAATCATATTAATTTAATGTTGAGAAATAAAGTATCCCCTACTTCTAAACAATTACCAAAAATTATATTTATTAAACTAAAACTATACTTGGGACATTCTACACCAACTCGACTTTATTTTTAATTCGACCCCTTTCGATTTCACTAAAAAAATTTTTTTTCTACTTTACTAAAAGAGTTTCTCAGAATTTTTTCAGATATCCATAACTGTCAAAAATAAAAGTATCGGGACTTCTTTTTTCTCAAAATTTTTGTTTTTAAATGTACTTTTTGGGAAAGAATAGAAAAAAATTATATATTTTATAATTTTTAAAACCACTACTACACGCAATTTGTTGTTATAGTAACAACTAATGATGTGAAATTATTCTTTTTGTCAGTCACAATTTTTTTTTTTTTTTTTTTTTTTTCTAAGTTTAATCAAAATACGAGTGAAACTTCGAAGAAAAAAATTAAATAATAACGATAGTTTTTACAAAGGCCATAGGCCGATAAGTATAGTGAATCGGCCCCAGAAAGATATCTGGCTTATAATTTCAGGGTATGTTGGTACTTATAAGATACTTCGATACTGCAAGTTTCAGCTCTTCATCTAATACCGTTTTCGAGAAAATCGAAAAAAGCTGAAATTCAGAAAAAAATGATTTTCTCAGAAACCCGTGAGCCGATTGATTTGAATTTTTAATATGTTTTGGGGGATGATGGTAGCTTCTAGGAAAAAAATTATGAGCTATATTGGTTCATAAGAACCTCGAAAAAAATGACGTTTTTTTTTTTTTTTTAATTTTTAACGATGATAGAGTTCTGGCACAATTATGAAACTATTTTTTTTTAATTCCTCATCCAATTTCCTGTGGAATTATGACTTTTAAGAATATTAATAAAAGGTGCGCCGTGTTGAAAAAATTTCAACTATTTTCGACTGTCCAATTATAGTTGGTGATATTGTGTGCTCATGTTGCCGTGTAAAAAAATATAAAAAAAATCAAACTTGATGATGAAGAAACGGAAACATTTGGAGAAAATGAATTGACTTCAGATATAAGTGATTTGAGTGGCATGTTAGAAAGAACTGAATCAAACTTATCATCGATGACTTTGTCGCAATCAAGCTCTGATGATCCATCATATCATTTGAATTTTGTATCTCATGATACAGAGGAGTGTATTGAAATTCAAATTGAAAGAACTGTTGCTACTCACAGATACTGTTGTGTGTGTGTGTGTGTAATATTTCAAATACTAATCTTGTACTTGTTCCTCAAGATGCACGTACTCAATGCTTCATCAAGCGACGAATTTTTATTCCGAATGGAAATCGATGCTGCAGAGACCATCTGATAAAAAAACGTTTTTATGAAGAGAATTTAGATAGGTTAAAGGTTTTTTCCAATTGGAGTATTTTAAGATCGTCAGAACTAACCCAACTTATGGAAAACTTGGTTGTTGACTGTAACTCTAAATATCCAAATAGTTCAAATATTGACGGTCATTGATGAAGATAGCGAGGAGGATTAGTCATGAGGATCACAGAAAATCTTTCTTACTATGTAAAAAATAATATATTTAAATATAGCGATAACTAGTGTTTAATGAATAAAAACATTGAAGTAACTTGATTTTTTAATAAAAAAATGATTTTCTATTTTTTTTCAACACGGCGTACCATTTATTAATATTCGTAAAAGTTATAATTCCACAGGAAATTGGATGAGGAATTCAAAAAAAATAGTTTCATAATTGTGCCAGAACTCTATCATAGTTAAAAATTAAAATTAAAAGAAAAACGTCATTTTTTTCGAGGTTCTTATGAACCAATATAGCTCATAATTTTTTTCCTAGAAGCTACCCCAAATCATCCCCCAAAACATATTAAAAATTCAAATCAATCGGCTAACGGGTTTCTGAGAAAATCATTTTTTTCTGAATTTCAGCTTTTTTCGATTTTCTCAAAAACGGTATTAGATGAAGAGCTGAAACTTGCAGTATCGATCGAAGTATCTTATAAGTACCAACATACCCTGAAATTATAAGCCAGATATCTTTCTGGGGCCGATTCACTATACTTATCGGCCTATGGCCTTTAAATTTATTAATAAGTAATCATGTTTTTGTAACTATGCTCAGCTTTCAAGACACTTGAAGGAAAATTTCTTCGAAAATCCAAAATTTTAGAAAAAAAAACCTGCCTTGAGCAATAAATAAGATATGAAATGACCGTCAAAATATTTTCAATCATTTTTTGGTCAATTTATTAATATTTCATTGTGCCGGGGTCGCCATTAAATTTAAAAAATGACCAATGGTCATTTTTTGAGTTGGTCAATTAACGTTAAATGACGAGGAATTGACGAGCACGTTCTTGTCTCGCATCACTAGTTGTTACAAACGATGTAACTGAGATTGTATTTTTGTTTAAATGATAACTATTTAAAAAAAAAAAAAAAAGCAAATTTACCTGTCGTTGCATTTTTGTAAACTAACGTGACTTGGACTTTTAGGAGGTAAATGAGTCGTTGCTGATCCAACAGTCAATTGCAATCCGCTAATCGAATGCTGTTTGTCTGATGGACTTTGTTGTCCAGGTCCAGATCCTACATTTGCTTGAAGAGGGGTGCTAGGCGCTGAACGCGCACCTATGGATCCAGCAGACCTTTAATAAAAAAATATAAAATATCAGTTAGTAGAGCAAAAATCATTGTTGAATAAAATATAACAAGTATTGATAATTAACCTCCTGGCTGTCTACCTTGTTCTGGGTATTGATTTTGACGAAAGACACAATTGAATCAAAGCTCTCGTTTCAAAATCCATGTTATTTATTTTTTTATAAATTCTCATTTAATTGACTTTTATAATTAAAAAAAAAAAAAATTAAAGAATATCACGCGTTAAATTATAACCCAGTTGTAGTTCAATAACTTTCAGTAAAAGCCACGTTGATATCTGTGTTTTTTGAAAATACCTCTTTTTGAATGCCGCCACTTAAGACTGATGCTCTTGAGTGCCAGCCTCGCGAGAAAGATAAAGCTCATTGTTACAAATTACGTTATAACAGTGAACTTGCTCTAATTTACATTATTAAAATAAAATTTAGAAACTGAACGATACTTTAATCTCAGAGTAATATTTTGTTTTATTGTTAAAGCTTTAATTTAAGTTGACCTTCATAACAACAAAATTATGAAAACCACCGAGACGAATAGTAAATGTCGAGACAAAAAATTTTTTAACACTAGAACGATCTTGAATAATCGAGACGAGTTCCTCGGGCCAGCCGGGGTTGAACTAACTCATATCAGGAGGGTTTATAACAGCCCTCTGAATAGTATGACACCACTGACCTTCGTTCTTCGTGAATTCTTCATGAATATTATAGCTTTATTGTCTTTTTATGCTGCGTGGAAAAAAAACTAGATATATACTGAACATTCGTTGCCTAATCAATAACCTACGTAATAGGTATTATATATAATTAAAATTAAACTTTGTTGTTTAACTCAATTAATCTTATAGTCTTTAACTTAAACTGAGTTGAAGAAATTTATACATTTTAGTTATGTGTTTGTTACCAAATCAATTATTCTACATATACATAAGGAGTATGATATTTCATAAAATTCAATTATGTTACACCTAATTAGCAATGTATATTCATCAGAATAATTAATGATTGACTTTTCATACAGCAGACAATAAAAGGTCAATAAATTGTTGAATTTGCAAGATAAAAGTTTTTTTCAACTATTATTTTATAGGTTTTAATTAAAATACTTTTGATAAATTTTTTGCGACTTTTAGATACACTGAGAAACAAAATACTTTTATTAAAAAAAGTTTCTAAAAAACCATAACTCTAAAAAATTTTTGACTTAAAGATCCAAAAACTAGAACCTTAAAAACAACACTTTTATTACATTATATTACCTTGATACCAACTGTTTTTTTATCATAAATTAACCAAAAGTTTTGAAATTTTGAAATAAGAAAATTTTATTTAACTGTATTTCATTTTCGTAAAATTATTTTTTTTTTCTTACTTTTTAAGAGGGCACTATTTTGACCAAATATTGGTTTGTCATGAAATTATTTTTCCGATTTTAAGAAATATTAAAATATTTCATACATAAAAGTTTTAAAATTATTTAGAATTTCACGTTTTTCTTCTCAATAAAGTGCCATTTGTTTTGAATTAATGATCGAAAATAGTTATTCTTGTCAAGAATCAATAAATAATGGCACTAAAACTGATCTTGTATTTTATAAATAATAACAAAGATAAATGACAACAAAAATGTTTTTCTTTTGTGACTCAGCAAAAACAGTATTAATTAATATATTTTTTTAATACTACTTAGATAGAGAACAATCTTTAAAAACACCGCTTATTTAAAATATTTGACACTTTTGTTAACTTCAATATTCCTAAAAATAGACATTAAAATGATTCAATTAAATCAGTATAACTTAATTTTAGTCTCTAGTATAATATTCAGTTAAAATTAACATAATTTTAGATTTTCAATTATAATTATGAATCTGGTCTTATCATTCTGAATAAAGTTAAGTGTTTCATTTCATAAATTTAAATGATGCGTATTGGCAATATCCAGTAACTATTTTGCTATTTAATCCTTGGAGTATACTGGGGGTCATTTTGATCCCAGAATTTTTTTTAATCCTAAAATATTTCTCGAAAATAGATTCGTTTTTAATAAATTTTTTCAACATTAAAAACTATCTAATTCAGAATATTAATGATTGTATTCAAAAGAGCATTGTTTTACCTACCAAAAATGTAATAACCTGAATTTTGATAAAATGCATAGTTTCTGAGATATAATTCTTCGAAAGTCAAGTGGGGTCAATTTGACCCCGTGTGTACTCTAAAGTTCTGTTCGGAGGTATGTACTCCGAGGGTTAATATTAATACTCAAGAGAATATATTGTTTCATGTGTTACTAAATATTAATATTGTCATTTTTTTAATTTGACAATTATTCATGTCAATATTAATTTGATGGATGTTAATAAAAAGTAACATTTTCTTACTCTAAACTTTTACTAACTAATCTTTATATTTTTTAGCGATTTTTACGATTTGAAATATTACCATCGGAGATCAACTATTAGCAACCAATTAATACTTAAGAATAAATAAGTGAGAACGTAGGGGAGTATTGAATTTACGTAGTATCGAAGATACATAAACATAATAATTTTATTGTACTAATAAATTATTGCAATTATTAACTTCGTAATTTATAGTTTTTTTTTGTACAAAAAATATTTTTCTACACATTGATTTATGATCAAAAATATTGATTTCTTTATAAGAGCAATGTATTTCATGTCAACTTTCAATAATTTCTTTAAAATTTTAACAGATGTCTATCCCAAAACATTAACAGTAAATTTTTTTAAGGAATATCTACACAGAAAAAAATTTTTAGCTATTAAATTGAAAATTGTTGTCACACTCATACATTCTCAATATTTATAATTCATTTTTTCTTTTTTATTTTTTTCCCCAAGTGTATCTAGTTATAAAAAAATAAAATTACATAAGTGATAATCAATAAATGCAGTATAATTAGCATTGAAAAATGTCATTCTTATAAAAATTCCAAGTTTTTTTTAGCCTATCTAAAAGGTTATAGATATAAATTATCACCTTTATACGTTCAATAAATAGATAACACTAATAAAAATATTGATTAAAAAAAGAATCGTGAACCAAGAACGTCATTTCGAAGAGTTTGATTATCTTAGACCAAGAAGAAACATTTTTGAATCAAACAAAATTTACTTGAACTAAAAACAATGTTTAAGTTGAAAAATGTTTCTGGTTTGAATCAAGATGATCTAACTATCAAATTATATTTTTGGTTCAAGATTTTTTTCTATCGAAGGAAGTTATTTTTTTATCTGTGTATTAGCTTTCTTCCCGCATGGAGAAATATATATGTCAAAAATATATGTCGCATATATAATATATATGCCGCATATATTTACGCAAAAAAAAAATATGTCAACATATATTTTTCACATAGATGCTGACATATATGCAGAGATACATGCTTACATATATGTAGACATATATGTAAGCATACACTGAAAAAAAATTTCTAAGTTTGAGAATTTTTTTACTCAAATCAAGAAAGTTATATTTTTCAAAATTATTTTCTTGATTCAAGTTAAATTTCTTTCTGTGTATCTCTAGACACTTATATACGCACATATATGTGAACATATATGCACGCATATATGTGAACATATATGCGGACATATATTTAGCGCAAAAAAAATATATGTGAAAATATATATTTGCATACATTTTTCGCATATATATTTTTCCATGCGGGTTTTTTTCCGTAAATTATTTATTCAAACATAAGTGATACTGAAACTACTCCTTGTACAATTTAAAACAATGCTTAAGAATAAAATGTCATATACTACCAACTTATAGAGTACTACTTGTGTTTATTATTCGATTACAGAAAAAACTAGAAATTGTAATTAATATAAGTTAATTATCGATTTCTTTTTAGTTACGGCCGTAAGCATAGTTGATATACCTAGAGAAGTGTTCTCAATAATAATGGTCAAGAAACATTTTGAAGGATGACAGTTTTATAACATAAGCTTTTATTATAAGAATGTAAGCTTAGTTTTAACCCTAATTAAGTTTAGAACTTACATAAATTTAAAAAGATAATTATTTTATAAGTTCATGCTCTTTAACTATCTGTACTAACATTTTATATTATTTTAAAATTCGAAGTAAAGAAAAATAACTCCACTAAATAGATATTGAAAATTTACTTTCACAATTATTACTTTTATTAGATTTTCTCAAATATTTGTATGTTTATTTATCATAAATATTTGAATAAATCAAAGAAAAAAACTATGAAATGATTTGGTTCTACGTTGAAAATTTTGTACTTGACCAAATTAAAAGTTTACAAATATGAAATTTATTTAAAGTCAAATTATGAACTTATAACTGTAATGTTAGCTATTGTCACAATATATCATAAAAATGTACTAATTCAAAATAATAAGTTGATGCGAATTAAATTTAAATTACTGGCTCAAAAATTTCTTCAAGTTTAAAAAACTTTCATTTTTTTTACTGATCAATTTTTTACCAACCATATTATTTTTTATGCTCAAAAAACTGCATTGAACACAGAAAAGACGGATGTCTTGAACCAAAATGTTTTTCCTTCAATTCGGTACTCTTGGATGAAAATTGTTCTGTTTCTGAATTGAAAAAAAAAAAAAAAAAAAAACTTACTTTTGATTAAAAAAAAACTTTGGCAGGAAGAATCAGAAAATGAGACAACTTTTTTTTAATTTTCACCGAGAATATTTCTTTTTGATTAAATAATTTTAATATTTTGGGTCAAATATTTTTTCAATTTGGAGCAAGAAATATTATTTGACAGTAAAATAAAAATGTTTTCCTGGAAAAATCTCATATCCATGGTTCAATAGCCCGGATCATTTTGATTCAAACATATTTTTTTGTGCTATATTTAGCATATAATACAAGATCAAGCAAAAGGATAGTTGATAGTTGATTTCTTTTGAGCCACCCTAGTATATTTACGTGCGATTTCTCGAGCATTTGTAATCGATCGTTCCACATCAAACTTTAGTTTACAGAGCGTATGTTTCTACACACTATAAAGCTCGATGCATAAAATAGATTTACGTTGTTAGGTTCCGGGTTATATCTTATCATCATGCAGTATCAATTTTAAATTTTATTAATGTATACAAACGTTCAAATTTATTTTAGG